GATCTCTGAGGTTGATCCAGGGCAAAAGACTCAAGATCCTATCTGAAAAATAAAACAAAGGGCTGGGAAGGTGGCTCAGTGGTAGAGCGCTTGCCTTGCATGCATGAGGCCCTGGGTTCGATTCCTCAGCACCACGTAAGCAAAAAGAAAAAAGCCGGAAGTGGCGCTGTGGCTCAAGTGGTAGAGTGCTAGCCTTGAGCTGAAGAGCTGAGGGACAGCACCCAGGCCCAGAGTTCAAGCCCCATGACCGGACCCAAAATAAATAAATAAATAAATAAATAAATAAAACAAAAAAGTGGCTCAAAAAGCTGGCTCAAGTGGTTCATACCTATCACACACAAGTACTGAGTTCAAGTCCCAGTACTATGCCCAGAAAAAGAAAAAAAAACACAAAACATTGTTTGATAAGGGAGAGAGGAAAAGAAAACAAGCTTTTTACAGTTAAAAAAAAAAAATGCAAGTGAGAAACCCAAGAACTGATCTGGAAGATAAAAAGCTTGGAAAAATGACTAGAAAGTGGGAGCCAACAAGAAAGACAGCGGGGTGGGGGGGGGGGGGCATGCCTGCCAGAGGCCCAACCATAAACCATGGGGGCCCCCCCAGAGGACAACTGTCACAGAGGAAAAAAAGCTCAAGGGACACACAGCCAGGCAGGCTAGCAGGACCCCAGCTCAGTGGTCCAGAGTCCAGCACTGGCCCAGAATAGAAAACCAAGCCAAAGGCCAAAAGCAACACACACACACAGACATCCCTATCCTTAAAGCGCCCAGCCCTGAAACTTCTAGAAAAAAGAGTCTACAGGTTTTCAGAAAGCAAGGTGATCCGTGGAGGATCAAAGTCCTGGATTTCACAAGCCTAAAGACTTGGAGATACAGCTTATCTCAGTAATAGGTAAGGGTGTGTGTGTGTGTGTGTGTGTGTGTGTGTACACTTTGTGTGTGTACAGTGTGTGTGTGTGTGTGTGTGTGTGTGTGTACACTTTGTATACCCAGGGACTGAACTTAGAGCCTTGCGCTTTCTAGCAATGTGCTCTATTACTCGAACCATGCTCTAGTCCAAGCAACTCCTCTGGGCTAGTGTAGCAAGCAGGTGAGAGAGGCATCATTCTGACCTTCCCCTGAGAGAAACAAATAGGGCCTGAAACAGAAAGACTGGCTAGGTGTGGCTCACACCAGTAATCCTAGCTACTCGAGAGGCTGAGATCTGAGAACTAGGGTCAAAGCCAGCCTAGGCAAGAAAGTCCATGAGACTCTTCACTCCAATTAACAATTCAGAGTCTTGACATGGGGGTGTAGCTCAAGTGCAGTGCCAGGCTTAAGAGAAAAAAACCAAGAGACAATGCCCAGGCCCTGAGTTCAAACCCCAGTACCAGTATAAAAAAATAAACCGGGCTAAATTTTCCTGGAACAAAACTTCAAAGTCAGAGTAAGAACACGAAGCACAGAGAACAGCTGGAGGCATGGCTCCAGTGGTAGAGCACCTGCCTAGCAAGCATGATGCTCTGGGTTCAAATGCTAGGATCAGCAAGAGGGAGGGGGAGCAAGAGAGCGAGGGCGAGGGAGCGAGAGAAAAAAGCAGGATAAACCATAGGCTGGAAGCAGAGGGAATGGCCTGGGGCACATTTAAGGCAGGAAAGCAGCTGGGATAATAAAAAAGCAGAGGGACAGTGGGGTCCGATCTTGATTCCACAAATAAGGGACTCTGAAACAGATGAATTGGTTCAAACTGTGCATGTATAGAAATATCACCATGAAACCCGTACACTGTACACATGTGTATTAATTATAAAAGTGAAATAGGCTTGAAGAAGAGAATACAGGTGGACAGGACTCCTGGGAGGATAGCAAAGGGCAGGGCTGGGGAGTGGGGAAGGAGGCGGATCAAGACCAACAGCAAGTGCTGTCATCCAACCACTCTGGGACCACAGAACAAAGTAACTTCTGACAAAGTAGCAGAGCACATCTGCCCAGTGTGAAGGGGAACTAATCGAGGGACACAGTCTCTGGATTTGTTTTGCTCTTGGTGGTACTGGAGTTTGAATCCAGGACCTTGTACTTGCTAGGCAGGCACTCTACCACTTGAGCCATGGCACCAGCCTCCAAATAGGTTTTTTTGTTTTTTTGTCAATCATGGGGCTTGAACTCTGGGCCTGGGCGCTGTCCCTCAGCTCTTCAGCTCAAGGCGAGCGCTCTACCACTTGAGCTATAGCGCCACTTCCGGTTTTCTAGTGGTTTATTGGAGATAGGAGTTTCCTGCCCCGGCTGGCTTTGAATCGAGATCCTCAGATCTCATCCTCCTGAGTAGCTAGGATTACAAGTGTGAGCCACCATTGCCCGGCTAAATTGTTTGTTAGTTTGTTTGTTTTTAAAAAAAAAGCTCTTGCTTTTTGGCCTGGGTAAGATGGAGACCTGCCTGCCAATGCCTCACTCAGCTGGGATAAGCATACTCTACCACACCTGCTCAGTGTCCTCTGGTTCTAAAATGGCTTGACAATAAGCTTTCACATCAAAGCCCTCCATGATCTCCACCATCAGTAGTCTGCTGCCTGCCTTCTGCCGCCTTTCTCCTAGTCTGTGGAGTCTGTGGAGAGTCTGTCAGGAGAGTCTGTCAGGTACCTGGACCCCAGTGGAAGAAAATTTAAGGAAGAATCAACAGGCTGCCTGCACGGTGCAGGTCAGACCCACTGCAGGAGCATGCTTAGCTGCGGTGCAGGAGGAAAGGGGGCAGGAGAGAGGACACCCAGTTTGCTGGAGTGTGCCTGCGGAGTATGGAGGAAATGTTGGAGGGGAGAGACACAGAATCTTATCTTGGAATCACACTGACGTAAGCCAGAGACTAGGAGAAGCAGCTCACTTGCAGCAAAACAAGAGGTACAGTTTTTTGACATTTGACTGTGAGGCAAGAAGTTCTCAGGAAGACATCTCTAACATCTTCTAAGTGTTTAGTATGTACCATGCATCGGACTTTGAGCCCCATGAAACTAATTATTCTCCTTTCAGGCCTGAGGAAACCGAGACTCAGAAAGGAGTAAGGTGGTCCCAAGTCTTCCTGCTGACACAAGAAGTCAGAAGAGCAGGACCAAGCCCAGAGCCCACACACCCACATCTCCCAGCCAGAGCTCCACAGGTAGCACCCAGAGCCTACACTGCTCCTGCACTGAGGAAAAAGTGGCTAGGGTACGAATGAGACACGAATGAGCAGGATCTGTTAAAATCACCTAACAGCATTAAGTTCTGCATCTTGCCAGCCACACTGCGGGCATGAGTGAGAATATCTGTGTCCTACAAAAAAAAAAAACACTGAGGGTAAGGACGCCGGGTGCATATCACCCACTGTCACAACACAAGTTCTTCTGGAGAGGATCAGGGCGAGGGTGGCCAAGAACTCCAGGGAGCAGCTCTGTCCCCAAGGTGTGTTCACCTGAGTCACAAGCCACAGACAGGTTAGGGAGGAAGAACCAGACCAGAGACAATGGTTGTCTCAAGCAAGAGTCCCTGGAGAGGCTGGGTGCTGGTGGCTCACCTCTGTAATCCCAGCTGCTCAGGAGGCTGAGATTTGAGGATTGAAGTTTGAAGCCAGACCAGGTAGGAAAGTCTGGGAGCCTCTTACCTCTTGATGAATCACCGAAGAGGGGAGAAGAGGAGTGGTGCTACGGCTCAAATGGTAGGCCAGCCTTGAGCAAAAAAGCTAAGGAGAGGCTGGGAAGGTGGCTCAGTGGTAGAGCGCTTGCCTTGCATGCATGAGGCCCTGGGTTCGATTCCTCAGCACCACATAAGCAGAAAAGAAAAGCCAGAAGTGAGGCTGTGGCTCAAGTGGTAGAGCGCTAGCCTTGAGCTGAAGAGCTGAGGGGCAGCGCTCAGGCCCAGAGTTCAGGCCCCACGACCGGACCCAAAAAAAAAAAAAAAAAAGCTAAGGGACGGTGCCCAGGCCCTGAGTTCAAGCCTCAATACAGGCCAAAAAAAGGCAGAAAGTCAGCGACCTTGCTATCCCAGGCAGCCCGGAAGCACCAGCCAGCAGTGGCGAGGTGTGACAGGAATGCGAACAGCAAGTGCGGGACAGCTACAGACACCAGGGGCCCACGGTGGATGGAGGAAGCCAAGGGGAGGCGGGCGGAGGCGAGGCCGGGGGAAAGGCCAGGCCAGGGGGAAGGCCGGGCCGGAGCGCGCAGGGGCCGCGCCGGGGGGGGCCTGAGCGAGGAGCTGGGGTCCCGGCGCCCCGCGGGCCGGGGCGGGCAGCCTGACCTCACCTTGTGGTAAATCTCTGGCGGGGACGTGATCAGCGTGGGGCAGAAGGACGTGACGCCGTGGGACAGGAGCCTCCGGGCCACCAGGGCGACCCCGGAGCCCACGTCCTCCGTGGCCTTGGAGAAGTCCACACCAAATCCACCTGTGGCCACAGAAAAGAGGGTCGGAGGGAGCCCGGCGCGCGCCCCGGCCCGCGGCCCGGCCCAGCCGCACCGTTGATCTGCACGTCGATGAAGCCGGGCGCCAGGATGCGGCCTCCGCAGTCCCGCTGCTCGTCGGCCACGCGCCGCTCGTCAAAGAACAGCTTCTCGGGGTCCACGACGCGGCCCCCGCGCACCCACAGGTCCTCCCTGCGGACAGAGCGGCCGGGGCCGGCCGGCGGGTTGCCGGGGCGTCGGGGGCGGCCCCGGGCCCGGCCCCCGCGCCCCCGCCCGCCCGCCCGGCCCGCACCTGAGCAGCTCGCCGCCGCGCAGGATGCGGCAGTTGGTGAACTGGAGCACCGGGGCCGGCGCCGACTCCCCGCCGCGCATGGTGAGGGGGACCCGGCCGCGCCGCTGCACCTCGGACGCGGCCCGAGGCGGAGCCGCCCCGCGCCACGTGACCGCCAGCTGGAGAGCCGCCGTCACATGACCCGCCCCGCGTGACCGCAGGAACACGTGACCCGCCCCGCCCGCGCGGCGCTGCCGAGCGCCCGCCCCGCCCCGCCCCGCCCGCCGCCTGCGCGCGCAGCACACAGCAGACCGCACGCACACCGCGTCACATCCGAGAACTTTATTGGACACAGCGTGGCGCGGGCCGGCGGCCGGGACGGGACGCGGCCCCGCCGGCTCCGCCCAAGCAGTCCGGGGCGCGGGAACCACGGGACACGGTACTAAGGGGGCTGCGGAGCGGGCGCCGCGCCGGCGGGCGGGCGGGGACGGGGCGGGCGGGTCTTCATAAATAACATCCAGTGAAGAATGACAACCCTAACACTTTATACACAGCACTCTAGGTGGCGCGGAGGGACCTGGGTGGGAGGAGTGGGCCCAGATGTCCACAGCACGGGGCGGCGGGGGCCAGGCGGGGCGACGGACGATGGGCACTAGGACACTGCGCATTTACAAGACCAACTACGGAGGGGCGGCGGCCCGTGCATGTCAGGCTGTTCGTTCTGGAATGAGGAGGGGTGGTCTTTACATCGGACTCGGTGGCCAGTGGCTCCGCGCGGCTACTTTGTGGAGAGGATGAGGGCCACGATGAGACCGTAGAGGCCCAGCACCTCCGCGAAGATGAGGATCAGGATCATGCCCACGAACAGCCGGGGCTGCTGGGCAGTGCCCCTCACGCCCGCGTCCCCCACGATGCCGATGGCGAAGCCGGCCGCCAGGCCGCTCAGACCCACGCTCAGGCCCGCACCCAGCTGGAGGAAACTCCTGTGGAGAAAAGACACACGAGGCCCTCAGCCCGGCCCCTGCCAAAGAACAGCCAGCTGGCGGCCGGGCCCACACTCACCTGTACAGGGTGATGCCATCATTCAGGGAGTTGGCAATGAGGACCGCCACCACCAGGCCGTAGATGGCGATGATGCCAGCCATGACCACGGGGATGATGGACTTCATGATCAGCTCCGGCCGCATGACAGACATGGCGGCGATGCCGGTGCCGCTCTTGGCTGTGCCATAGGCAGCACCCAGGGCTGTGGAAGGGAGGCGAGCCCAGATCAGCGTGCAGCCCCAGGAGGGCTCCCCCAGTTCCCACTCAGAAGGAGCCGAATACCCTGCAGAGCAGGAGGGTCATAGGCAGACCCAGCCCAGCCCAGCTCTCCTTTCCAAAAGCGCCTCATCCGCACAGGGCTCTTGCCCTGCTCCCTAGGACACACTCCCAGGCTGCTGCCAGGACTTTAGGCAGCTCCAAGAAGACAGCTGGGGTTCCAGACACTTTTGTGAGATTCTGAGCACCTTCTGTTGTACCCCAAGTCCTCAGCACTCTCAGCCTCTCAGTGGTCTAGATGTGGGCTCAGAGTGCCCTGGCTACAAGAGCCACCGGGACATAGCCCCTCCTCACCTCAGGGTCAGCTGACCTTGTAAGTCCTGTCCTACAGGCCAGCACTTCTAAAGTCATCCAAGTTCCCACTACGCCCTGAACTGGGTGCTCAGAGGGGCATGCTCCTAGCCACCTCTACACAGCAGACCCCAGGGCCTGCACAGGTCCAACATCCTCTTCAAGTATAACCAGGGAGGGAGAAGGGCAAGCTGGAGGGGACAGTGCCCAGCCAGGAGGCTTCAAGAAACCTTCCAGAGGCAGCCCCTGCCTGCACTGGGCCCTCAAGGTTCCAGCCTGACAGGGAGGCAGGACTCCAGGGAATGATGCTTTCCTTCCAGAAATCCATTTCCCTGTCTCAGTTCTTAAAATGCAGCTGTTCTCACTCGCTACTTGCCCTCCAGGGCACCCATGCCATCATCATCCGGGATTTTTACACAGAAAACAGGCAGCGGCAGAAGGGACAAGGACAATCCTAGCCATGCCTCCTCTTCATTTTTATTCATCTCTGGGCTAGCAAAGATGCCCACTTGGGCAGGCACTGAGCAGTGGATCTTGCCTTTTCAGGGCTCATAGCCCAGCGACAGAAGCACTTACAGAACAGGGTGAGGGCACAGTATGAGGGTCTGGGAAGGACCACAGACCAAGTGGCTGGGGTGGAAGAGCCGGGCGACTAGATCAGTGATCCTTCGGCCTATGTGGGGTGACAAGCAAGATGGAGGGTCCTCACTGAGGCATGGGCGGAGGGCGGTGCCAAGCTACCCCAACACAGCCGCAGTGAGACTTGCAGCACTTCCAGCTCGTGCTTGGCTCCGTCTTCAAGAGAGCATTATAGCCTAATGACCTGGTTATGACTCCAAGTCACATATTATGGTTAGCAGTACATTTTCTCAGCTCCCAGTCCTGTCAGGCTGCATGGCAGATGTGTAGGGGCAGTGCTGGCACTCACCCCAGGCCATGTTTCAGGCAGGCCTGGTGGGACTGAACATAGGGAACTCAGCACACCGATAGTGGGGCCAAGAGAGGCAGGAAGTGAGCAGGGGGCCTTCCTCAGAGGCAGGCAAGGAGGTCATGTGGCTGGGGGATGGGTAGGGAAGAAAGCAACAAAGAGAAATAGGGACGAGCCCCCACCCCTACCCCAAGCAAAAGGGGATAAAACCAGCTCAGGCCTGAGCAGCAGCAGGTAGTAAAAAGGCCAAGCATGCAGAACTGCAGGAGGCAGTGCTGCCAACAACGCCAAATGCACTGGAGCAGAGAGAGCAGGGTCAGAAGGCAGTTCCAGGAACTCACCAAGAGAGGAAGTCACAGAAAATACGGAAAAGGAGCAACTGCCAGCTTTCATGGAAGACATGATGAAGAAAGAATCAACAGGATATTTGTCACACACACAAGAAAAAAAAAAAGGAAGCTGGAAGGCCAGATGGAGAGTGGAGGGCTTGCAAGATGTGTGTCAACTTCATTTAGATGAAAAGATTGGTGGAGCCGGGCGCTGCGGCTCACGCCTGGAACCCCAGCTACTCAGGAGGCTGAGATGTGAGAATCACTGAAGCCAGCCCAGGCAGGAAAGTCTGTGAGACCCTCATCTCCAGTTAACCACCAGAAAACCAGAAGTGAAGCTGTGGCTCAAAGTGGAATAGGGCTAGCCCTGAGCAGAAAAGAACAGGGACAGTGCCCAAGTCCAGAGTTCAAGCCCCCCCCCCAAAAAAAAAATCAGTCAAGTGCAAGGCATGCAGGTGAGTTTGGAATTGGCCCAGCGGCAACACCAGAGGCTGCCAGAGGGACTTTTTCAAGTAGAAGACTGACGTGCTTGCAGAAAGTCGTGCTTCACTGAAAGAAACGAAGTCAGTGACTCAACTGGCCATGAAAAAGGCTGCGGACAGGGTGAGTATGTATGGAGGAGCAGGGGGGGCGGGGCGCAGGAAGGACACAGAGACCAAAGAAAATGTGCAGATTTCAATCCACAGGAGCCAGTGCCAGGCAGGTAAGACCTAAGCCAATAGTACTGCTCAGCAGTGTGCAGTGACCCGCCAGCCAGGCCTAATGGGAAGCACACTCAGGTACCTGACAAGGGGACAGGGAGCTGGATGCAGTAAAAGGACTTAGTGGGCAAACTCAAGGTGGCAGGAATCATTATGATAGAACATGGGCAGGGATCTTGTTTGTCCACCAAATGTTTCCCTAATATGGGGCACATAGTAAAAATTCAGCCAAGATATGCTAATGAGTGACAGGCACAAACAATAACCACAGGTGGCCCCAGCAGTGGAACCTCTGGGGAAGGGAATGCATGGCAGTCTGCTCCAAGAAGCCCAAAGGTGTGGGAAGTGCAGGCCAGTCTTGGGAGGAATGGAGAAGTCTAAACCACATCTCCCACCACAAATGACCCCTTACTTAAAGAGAGTGGGAAGGGCAGAGCTCACTCAGCAGCGCATGACTGGCAAGACAGGCCCAAGCAGGGGAGGCCTCCAAGAGACCAGAACCCCAAAGCCCCCACCCTACAGGTGTTTACAGTCAGCAGGCACTGTTTGGAGTTCAAACCCTCCACATACCTGCAAGAGGAGCCTCCCCAGTCCACCAGGTAGGGTGGGGCAGGGCGGGGCCCTTTAAACCGTGGACTAGACCTACAGAGGAGGCCCGGACCAGGCCAGACCAGTCCCGGGGAGCTGGGACTTACCTGCTTCCATCCCTCGGTCTTGGGTCTGACCCACGCTCTTTCCTCCCAGGAAGGCCTTTTTTTTTTTTCCACTGAATTTAACACCCCAGGACTGTCCAAGGCCCAACTTCAGAAGCAGGTGCCATCAAGAACTCTTGTTTCTCTTCATCCAGCGCAGCCCCTCCCTGGTCAGCCCCCCTCAAGGTCATTCATTCATTCACCCATTCATTCACTCATTCCTAAGGCTGGAATTGAAGCCTTTCCTCAAGAACAAAGACCCAATCCTATAAATGCTGGCACCCCACGTTACTCTTGCACCCCCTCGAAGCACAGACCCTCAAGCAAGCGTCTCCCTCCCAGACCCCCCCCCCCCCCGGCCCCCGCCAGCTTTCCCAACCAATCAGTTCGCCAGGACACAACTATTGGGAAATCGCGGCCAGCTCCGACCGGAAGCACCTGTCTTATTTGGGGTGCGGACCCCTCGACTCCGGCCGGCCAGGCGGCCCCGGAGGCGCAGGCTGCGACCTCTGGCGGGGACGCGGGCTCGGGGGCTCGGGCGGCGGGCACCCCCGGGCCGCCGCCGCCGCCCGCGGACCCGGCCTTCCGAGGTGATGTCACTCACACCTGGCCGCAGCACGCGGGGTGCGGAGCAGGCGCAGGCCGGCGCGCCGCCCGCCGCTCCCGCGCCCCCAGCCCAGCCCCCCCCCCCCCCCGCCTCACCGGGCTAAGATGGCAGCGGCGGCGCCGCCCCACCCCCGCCCCGGCGCGGCGGCGGGCGGGACGAGGCCGCGGCCCGGGACCCCCGGGGCCGCCCCCCGCCGCCCCCCGCCCCGGCCCGCCCCCGCCCGCGGCCGCGCGGCCCGCACCGACGGCGAGGCCCGCGCCCGCGTGACGTCACGCCGGGCCCCGCCGAGCCGCGGCCCCGGGCCCCGCGCCGCCCGGGCGGCCCCGGCCCCGGGCCCTCCGGCCGCGGCGCTCACCGCTGAAGATCATGGCGCACGAGGCGCCCATGACGCCGAAGAACGAAGCGTACTCGGGGTTCTTGGCCTCGGACATGCCTGCGGGAGGGGCGGGGGCGAGCTGGGCGGCGGCGGCGGCGGCGGGCCGGGAGCGGCGGCGAGGCGGGCGCGGAGGCGAGCGGCGCGGAAGGCGAAGGCGACCCGGCTCCTCCGCCGCTGCGCTCTAAATACCAACACCGCAGAGCAAAATGGCGGCCGGGGCCGCGTCACATGACCCTGGCCCCGCCCCCGCGGGCCGTACCACCTCGCGCCGGCGGGGGCGCGCAGCCCGGACGCCCGCCGCGCCCGCCGGCGTGCCCGGCCCGTGCCACCCGCGCGCCGCCCGGCCCCAGGCGCGGCGCCCCGACTCTGGCTCCGGGGGGGGGGGGGCCCGGCTCAGCCCCGCCGCCCTCCCGCCCCGCCGCGTTGGGCGCGTCCCGTCCCCGGAGGGGCGGGGCTGGACGCGCTCATTAGCATACGGGGCGGGGCCGGGTGCCCCGCCCTCTCTGCGGCTGCGCGGCGCCCGGGGCGTTCGATTCCGGGCGCCGCGGGCGCTGGGGTTCCGGGCCGCGAGCCCGAGGCCCTCCCGCTCCCCCCGCCGCGCCTGGCCCTCCCTGCCCCACGAGGCAGCGCGCGCCGGCCGGGCCCCGGCCCCGGGGCGCCTCCGGACCGGCGCTCTGCCCGACGGGGCCGTGTCGGGAGCGGAGCTGGCCCCGGACTCCCGCCGTCAGGGCGGCGGTGGCTGGGCGGTGGGCCGGGAGGCTGCCTGGGGGGAGAGGCCCGGTCTGGAGGCCTCGCCGGCCTCCGGGCGCCGCGAGGTCCCGGAACGGCCGCGCCGGTCCCGCGCTCCCGCCGGCCTCGCCCGCGGCTCCCGCCCGCCATCCCGTCGCCCGTCATTCCCAAAGCCTCTCATGGGGGTGGGGGCCTGGGGCTGAGCTCTGGCCTGGGCGCTGTCCACAGCGGCACTGCCGGCTTTTTGGTATTTAGCTGTCTGATTTGAACTTGGATCCTCTCGCCCAGCCTCCTGCCGAGCTCGGGTGACCGGCAGGAGCCCCCGGCGCCCGGCTCTGCCGGCACCGTCCCCCGGGCAGGACTCTTCCGGCGTGCCCATCAGCAGTGGCACCAACTTTCTCCTCCGCACATAAGGGGCGCGCCTCAATCCCTAGGACTGGCCTCCGGGAAGCCCTCCAGCTCTTCCCTTCCTTCTTCCTATTCTTCGGATGCCCCTCTGTTCCTGCCCTTTTCCACTCAGTGGCTCCCACAGAGAGAGGCTCTTTTCCTGTACTCTAGATCCGGGTAGGCAGGCCGATAGTGTCGAGCACTGAGGGGCTGTGGTCACATCTAGCTCTTACCAGTTCTCCCGTTTGTTTTGTGGACATGGAAGCAGGCCTGCGAAGGTTAAGAGCCTCCCCTGGGCCATCGGCAAGCCCCCCCAGGCTGCGGCCTGCCTCCGTCCAGCCAGAGCTCAGCCGGGGTCTCTTGTGGCCAGCGAAGGGGCCTGGGGAGGACCCAAGCCCACTCCCCTGCGGCTCCCGGGCCTGAGTGGGGGCTGTAGGTGGAGCTGCGTTTGGAGTGGGCAGGAAGGGAACGGTGAGGGTGCACCGCAGCCTCCTGCTTCACTGCGACTTCCTCGTGACTCGCAATCACGGTCACGAGTCCCGGCCCATCACTGTCCCCGTGGCTGAGATGTGGGGATTCCCAGACACGGAGAAGAGCTTTTAGATGTGCAAGTCAGAGACCCCATAGGAAAAGGAATGAGTGCAGAGAAGGGGTCGGGAGAGGGCCCTGGGAGCTTACATAAGTCCCAGGGAAAGATGGGGAGCAGAGAAGTAAAAATCCCCAATAAGCCCAAATGATTAGAAAGGAAGACTTATTCAAAGAAGAGGGAAGGGCTGGCCCCCCACCTGTAATCCTAGCACTTGGTAGGTAAAAGGCAGGATTGTGAGTTCTAGACCAACCTGGGCTACGTAGCAAGACCCTGTCTAAAAATTTAAAATAGGGCTGGGAAGGTGGCTCAGTGGTAGAGCACTTGCCTTGCATGCTTGAGCCCCTGGGTTCAATTCCTCAGCACCACATAAGCAGAAAAAGCTGGAAGTGGCGCTGTGGCTTCAGTGGTAGAGCGCTAGCCTTGAGCTGAAGAGCTGAGGGACAGCGCCCAGCCCAGAGTTCAGGCCCCATGACTGACCAAAAAAAAAAGAGGAAGAGAGAGTGGGAAGTCTGAAGTGTGTCCCGTAGCCTCCAAGAGAACATCAGGAAGTGTAGAAAAAGAATGTCCCTGCGCAAGCCTTCCACACACCTCCTCCTCCTCCACGCTGTCATGAAGGCACAGAGCGGGACACACAGTGCCTGTCTCTCACTGTGGTTAGATAGAGCTACCTGTGGCCTGGACATGGCCAGAAGTGATTGCAAGTGCAGTGCACCGCTTGGGGAACCACCACACAATCACAGGTGGCTTTGTGTGTGCTTTTGCCAGGGTGTTCTTTTTCACTCGAGGCTCCTTGAGCCACAGCTCTACTTCTGGCTTTCTGCTGGTCAGCTGGAGATGGAGACTCAGACTTTTCTGCCTGGATTGGCTTCAAACAGAGATCCTATGATCTCAGCCACCTGAGTAGCTAGGGTTATAAGGTACGAGCCACTGGTACCCAGCTAAGGTCCTCGGCTTCCTCTCGTATAAATATAATGCGGTACATGTGGGACCCAATGATACCACCCTCCCATGGTGCGGGGCTACTTACTCCACGGCACAGGAAGTGGCAGGGATGGACATGGTCTGCCAGTCCCTTATCGCTCCAGTCTGAGAGAGGGGCAAGTGGTCAGCGGGATGACCCCTTGCTTGCTGACCTCTTCAGGGTTTGATGCAAAGAGGACTGATGTAGGGGCTGGGAAGGTGGCTAGGTGGTAGAGCGCTTGCCTTGCATGCATGAGGCCCTGGGTTCGATTCCTCAGCACCACATAAGCAAAAAAGAAAAAAAGCCAGAAGTGACACTGTGGCTCAAGTGGTAGAGCACTAGCCTTGAGCTGAAGAGCTGAGGGACAGCACCCAGGCCCAGAGTTCAAGCCCTATGACTGACAAAAAAAAAAAAGAGGTCTGATGTGTGTGTGTGTGTGCACAAGTGTGTACATGTGCATGCATGTACTCCAGCAATGGGACTCCAGTTCTATGTATCCAGTTCTGGCTGTTTTTTTTTTTTTTTTCTGGCTCATTGGAGGTTTTTTTTTTGGATCCAGTCATGGGGCTGAACTCTGGGCCTGGGCGCTGTCCCTCAGCTCTTCAGCTCAAGGCTAGCGCTCTACCACTTGAGCCACAGCGCTACTTCCAGCTTTTTTCTTTTTGCTTATGTGGTGCTGAGGAATTGAACCCAGGGCTCAAGCATGCAAGGCAAGCGCTCTACCACTGAGCCACCTTCCCAGCCCCTCATTGAAAGTTTAAAGACAGATGTGATTTACCTTAGCTCACCCATTTGTCTTCCTGAGTTGACTTCAAAGGGATCCTCAGATCTCAGCCTCTAGAGTAGCTGAGCTTTTAGGCCTGAGTCTCAGTCACCCAGCCTGATTGGTTCTCCTCGTTTCGGGGCTGGACCGGTGGTCTGAGTGGTAGAGGTAGGGGGTAGCATGCAGTTCTCTGATTCTGGCTGATCTACAGTAAACCAGGACCTGGGGCTGGGCATGCCTGGGAAGCAGGTTCTCATGCTAGGGGCAGACAGCCAGAGGGGCCCCACGCCTGCTGTGGAGGCCTATCCCAGACCCCTCAGTATCCCCCACTCCAACCCTACCGTCAGGACTCACAGCTCCGGGCTGTTTGAACCCAGGGCTTCATGCTCTACCACTTCAGTCACACCTCTAGCTCTGCTTTTTGCAGGTTATTTTGAAGAAGTCTAGCACATTTTTTTTTTGGGGGGGGGGGTCAGTCATGGGGCTTGAACTCTGGGCCTGGCCGCTGTCCCTCAGCTCTTCAGCTTAAGGCGAGCACTCTACTGCTTGAGCCCCAGCGCCACTTCCAGTTTTCTAATGCTTTACTGGAGAGTAAGAGTCTCACGAACATTCCTGTCTGGGCTGGCTTTGAACCACCATTCTTAGATCTCAGCCTCCTGTGAGCTACAGGCACCTGGCCTGTGGCAAACTTTCCTACCCAGGCTGGCTTCAAAGAGAGTTTGTCTGGCTCTCCACCTCCTCCGCAGCTGAGATCACTGCAGCGACCCACCCACCGGTGCCAGCTCCACTGAACTCGTTTTTAGAGACCTGCTTGGTGCCAGACGCTATGTAAGGCTCTGGTAACGCAAGGACCAGTGAGTCCGCAACACCATAGAGCCACCAGCCACCCCAGGGGAACAGGAAGCCTGAGGTGGCACCTTCACATCTAAGCTGGAAACAGCTGCTGAGCGCAGGCGTGGCTCCAAAGAAAGGGGGCTGCCGCGGGCTCAGGCGATCCCAGGAGAAGTGGTCACTAAATGAGGGCTTAAGAGATGAAGAAAGCCTGGAGATACGTGTCTGTCATCTGAGCCACTTGTGGGGCGCCAACAGGAGGATCAAGGTCTGAGGCTGGCCTAGGTAAACATGCAAGACCCTATCCCCCAAATCAAGCAGAAAGGGCTGGGGCACGGCTCGAGCGGTAGAATACCTGCTTAGCAAGTATGACTCCCTGAGTTGAAACCCCAGTGCTATCAAAACATGAAAACTTCAGCTGAGCGCTGGTGGCTCACACCTATAAGGATCCAATTTGTCTGGACAAGTCACAGAGAATTCCAAATCAGCACTGCCCGCAGCGGGACAGAGACTGAAGCTGGTTGACGGACCTGTTCCACTGCATGAGGCCGGGGAGAGGCAGACGATCTGGAGATCTCTCAGGAGGATCTGGGGGTGGGGGGGGGAGAGGGAGGGAGTGGAGAGTCCAGGGGGTCGGAAGATATCACACTGTGCACACTCCTGCGTGAGTTTCCTACTGGGTGCACAGCCTGACTTCAAAACCCCTACCACAGGAAGGAATGGGAACTGGGTTTCCTCTGGGGTGCTGGGAACACTGGGAACTACAGAGAGGTAGGGGCCGGGCAATGAGTGAATGCCTTGATGCCTGCCTGCTGAACCCAGCCGGTGGGGCTGGTTCCATCACCTGAATTCTATCAAGAGTAGACAAGAGTAGATGCGTGGCCGGCTGGGGGGCAGGGGACCCTTGCTTCAGACCCGGCCCGGTGTGCAGGTGGGGGTGGCTGAGGGAAGGGCCAGGCTCCAACAGGCACCCACGGAGCCAGCTTGAGAGAGGCACACGCAGAAAATGCCGGCCACAGCTCTGCCCACCCAATTCTGGCTTGTAACAGCACGCGTGCCAACCACAGGATAGCCCTCGGCCGGCGGTGCGAGAACGCTGGTGCAGGCAGTATTGAGGAGCAAGGGCCTGCCTTGTGCCCTGGCTGTTTATGCTAGGAGGAAGGACGCGTCTTTCCCAGGGGACTGGTGGCCTGCAGGGTATGGGACAGGAGAGCAGCCGTTACCCCAAATCCTACAAAGCTGCGCAACAGAGAATTCAGCCTCAGTGGGGAACCCCTGGGAAAAGTCTCCAGGAATAAGTGTGGTCAGCAGTGTGTGCAAAGGCCCAGAAGTAGACTGGAAGGAAAAATGTTTGAACTTGAATGAATGAGCCCCTCTGCATGCTAGCAGACCCCGACTTCTCAGACGGGGCCAGGCCGCAGCACCCCAACCTCAGTAGAGAAGCCCTTGCATTAAGGATGAATAGAGCTGAAATAGTTCTTTGCATCTATGAAAACACATAAAACCTGCTGGAATTGTCTGAGGACGTCGGTAAGGGAGAGACAGGCTGGTGGACTCCTGGAATGCCTTGAACAGGGGGCTCGTGGTTTCCCTGGCCGGCGGTGTCGCCATGGTGGCAAAAGCAGCCCAGGACGTACCGGTCTCGATGGAGAGAAACTTCTTACCCTCGGCTGAGATCCTCCGTCTAGCTGCCTCCTCTCCGCCTCAGGGTCTGGGGTGGCTGTTCGGGAAGGTGCCGAGCTGTGAGGATTTTCCGTTTCCCTCGTCTACCTCGTTTCACAATGACGCTGCTCCCTCGGTTACCACTCATTTTATTTAGGACTCAACACCAACTGAACATCACCACGTCACGTATTTTCACATTCACAAATTGGATTCGGCGGCCAATCCGCACATGAGCTCTGTGAGCATGTTTTATGACATACACGTTTTCACAGATGCCCCACAGGGTCAATCCGGTGACCGCTAGTTTTTGTTGAGACCAGATCTCACGATGTAGGCCCAGGCTGACCTGAGACGCACTCACTCTCGGTCCTCTGCCTCCACACATGCCACCAGCCTGGCTAGAGAGCTCTTTTTCAAACCAATATCCACAAGACCTAAGGGCATTTGCCTCCCCGCCATCCACAGGGCTCCTGGATGGGCACAGCCCTGCTGGTCTCTCCCAGCCACGAATGTGGCGGCAGACGCGAGGGCTCTCACCCCGCAGCAGCCTGAGCAGCGGGCACGCAGCGCAGCTGGGAACCCAGCAGTGCCATGCAAGGCATTGTTTGCTTGGACGGTTCCTGTCCCACCACAGAGGGATGAATCCAGACTGACAATGTGTCCAAGCCACGCAGCTGGGCAGGAGTCACTGCTGACTTCCCGAGCACAGACACAGACAGAAAGGAGATCCTTAAAAACTCATGGGCTGGAATCATGGCTTAGGTGGTTCAGTGCTTACCTAGCAAGCACCAAGTCCCGAGTCCGTGCCCCCATACTACAAAAAATAAAACAATCCCCCCCCCCCCCCCCGCTTTTATACCAGATTAAAAAAAAAAATCCACATACTTTCCTACCCAATGTACACACGAAGGAAGAGTGTGAGGCCAGCCTGGTACGCCCGCTTCCCTGCAGGCTGAGTGGGAAGAGCTACGAGAGTCCACTTGGAGACTTCTGCCTAACCGGAAGCAATTATTAATCCTGTGAGTCTGATGATACGCTGGAGTTAATAAGAAATGTGACAAAGTAATTATCTGTAAAAATTAAATGCATTCCTGTAGGGGCAATCGGCAATCTGGATAGGGTTCTGTGCTTGAGCTGGCTGCGCCGGCCCGCGCTAGTTTCTGTGTTGATCTCAACACTGGAAGGTGAGGCAGGGGTCTCTGGAAACTGCCATATCAGCAGCAGTTCTGCAAATCACTTCCAAAAAAAAAAAAAAAATGCAGGCCAGTTCAGCTCAAACTGGCAGATACTTGTCTAGCAAGTACAAGGCCCTGAGCCAAACCTCAGTACCAACAAAACAAGAAGGTACGAAAAGAAAATTGTTAAATATAAAATCCTTGGACTGGAGGTGTGGTTCAAGTGGTAGAGCACCAGCCATGAGTGAAAAAGCCAAGTGACCCCAAGGCCCTGAGTTCAAGCCCCAGAATTGCTTCTTTTATTTAAAGTAAAAACTGAAATACTCGGTTGAATAATTAACTCAAGTAATTCATAAAATACAAGTGACTTGCAGTCATATCATAAATTTTTTTTAAAAAGCTGATTTTCTAAGGCCCTTCAGGCATATGATCTTCAATAACAAATGCATTTAATTTAATGAACTGGCTTAGGTTAGGTTCAATATTTGGTTTCAAAATAAATGTTTAAAATTTTCTAAAAATGATAATTCATTATGAAAGTCCATCAAATGTTGGTCCACTTTTTAACATGAAAAGCTAATAACCAAGGAATAGGAAACATTAATAAAATAAATTGTGCTAACTCAGGATATTTAGTATCTAGTCGTAAGAACAACAATAAGGGGCTGGGAAGGTGGCACAGTGGTAGAACGCTTGCCTTGAGGCCCTGGGTTCGATTCCTCAGCACCACATAGGCAAAAAGAAAAAAGAAAAAAGCCGGAAGTGGCACTGTGGCTCAAGTGGTAGAACTCTAGCCTTGAGCTGAAGAGCGGAGGGACAGCGCCCAGGCCCAGAGTTCAGGCCCCATGACCGGACCCAAAAAAAAATAACAATAATAAGAGTAAAAATAAAAATTATCATACTTTCCTTTTTGTAGAAAAGTCAGGAATAAAAAGGTATTATACCAGGCGCTGGTGGCTCACATCTGTAATCCTAACTACTCAGGAGCTGAGATGTGAGGATCATAGTTCAAAGCCAGCTTGGGCAGGAAAAGTCTGTGGGATTCTTATCTCCAATTTAACCAACAGAATATAAGAAGTGAACTGTGACCCACAGTGGCAGAGTGCTAGCCTTGAACAAAAAGAGCTCAAGGACAAAATCAAGCCCCACGACTGACAAAAAAAAAAGCCAAGGGCTGGGAAGGTGGCTCAGTGGTAGAGCGCTTGCCTTGCATGCATGAGGCCCTGGGTTCGATTCCTCAGCACCACATAAGCAAAAAGAAAAAAGCCAGAAGTGGCGCTGTGGCTCAAGTGGTAGAGTGCTAGCCTTGAGCTGAAGAGCTGAGGGACAGCGCTCAAGCCCAGAGTTCAGGCCCCACGACTGGACCCCCCCCCCAAAAAAAAAAAAAAGCCAAGATACTAAATTGAAGAACTGAGTACTTTTAGCTAGGTGTAGGGGCTCACATCTGTAATCTTAGGTACTCAAGATAGGAGGATTGCAATTTGAGGACAGCAAAGGAGATCATCTTCATAAAATGTGTGGGTTTGCTGGCCCTCACCTGTCCTCCAGCTACATGGTAAGTGTAAATAGGAGGATTTTAATCCAGGCTGGTCTGGGAAAATAGTGAGACCCTATTCATACTAATAGAAAGTGGAAGAGCTCCCGCCTAGCGAGCACAGTACTGCCCCAAAGTATGATAATAAAAGAACTATTTTGTGTATACCTTTACGGCAAAGAACTCTCCTCTCTGATGTGCAAATAGCAAGTGGTCTCCTGGGGCTGACACCCCCCAGGATGGCCACCGCAGGGCTCCGTGGGCAGCCCACTCCTATGCCAGACTGCCGGCAGGGTTCCACAAGCAATGCTCAGGTTCACTTCATCTTTTCTTGCAAGGCTTCATTTTCAAAGGGCCTTCAAAGTCCCAGTAACAACGCACGTGACTCTCATGATGGCTGGGCCTGGGGAAGCCCCGGGGCCCCTCTGGCTGAGGACAGCGGACTCAGCCTGGGAGCTAAGGATGCAACAAGACAGCGTTTAGCCAGGCGTCCACGCCTGTGATCACAGCACTCCCAGGGAGCTGAAACGGGACATGGGGTTGGAGGCCAGCCTAGGTCGTGTAGTGAGACCTTGTCTCATAAACACCCCTCCCCCCCAGACGAAAACCAAAGATGGTGTCTAATGAACACCAAAGTCTGCGGTGCAAGCCCGGGTGGCAGGTTCACGGGAAGGTGCGGAGGCCTGCGGCGCTTTCTGGGGTGGGCAGTGGCACCCCTCCCGGCGTTTCCCCCGGGAGTAGAGCAGGGCAGCACTGGCCCTCCCAAGGGGCCCGCGCTTGGCTCAGCGGGTTTGCAGGCCTTGCAGGGTCCCTGCCCTGGGTCTGGCAGGCGTCGCCGTAACCCTGCTGCAGGGTGGGATGAGCCCGCAGACAGAGCCCTGGCCTGGCACATGGCATCTCTGAGGCGTGCTAGCGGCAGCCATGTGCAGCGGGACTCAGGCCTGTGCCCGAGACCCAGGCCTCCGGGCCCCCAGGTAGCCAGTTGAGTCACTGCCTCTCCCTTCTTCCCTCTGTGGAGCCCTAGGGGGGGTCATGGGGAGGTGGCGCTTCCTGAAGTGCTCACAGTACTCACAGTGCACTGGGCCAGTGCAGGCTTCGGTGGCCGGAAGGCCACAGGGACAGGGGGCAGCACGCAGAAGACTGTGGCACATGGCAAGCCACAGTGCCAGACACGGGGGGCTAGGGAGGGGTCAAACGTCCAAGCAGAGTAGTGGCAGAGGTGCTGGGTGGGCAGGACGTGGGCACAGGGCCCGATGAAGAGCAGGGAGGGGTCGGGCTGAGGAGGCAAGCCATGCTGACGGCGCGGGCGTGGCCCAGCTTCTGCAGCCACAGGGAGGGAGGGAGAGCAGCACAGAGACTGCGGGGGGCTGGAGGGGGCCGGGCAGCCCCCACGAGTCCACGCATCTCCAGAAGGTCCTTGGTAATGGAGGAAGGCCGCCCGGATGCACCTCCTCAGCTGTGGACTCTCAACCAGGCTTGGCGAGAGTTTCTGGCTCTGCAGAAACACAAGGAAACATGACGTTCCCTCTGGTGCCCGTCCCACCGGCCCAGGGTCTGCTGTGTGTGTGTGTGTGTGTGTGTGTGTGTGTGTGTGTGTACGTGTGTGTGCGCGCGTGTGTGTACGTGTGTGTGTACGTGTGTGTGTGCGTGTGTGTGTACGTGTGTGCGCACGCGCGTGTGTACGTGTGTGTGCGTGTGTGTGTACGTGTGTGTGTGTGTGTGTGTGTGTGTGTGTGTGTGTGTGTGTGTGTTCAGCAGGCACCCTGCTCTCCTCTCTCCTATCCCGTGACTGCTCATGCAGTCTGGGGGAGCCTCTAGGGCAGGGTAACTTCCAGAGAGGAAGCTCTGGGGGAGGAGGGACTGGGTGCCATGAGGGAGGAAATGCCCCTGGGGGCCCGAGGGGAGGGGGGTGAGGTCCTGCAGAATGCAGGAAGCAAGTCCAAGGGCAGAGCAAGAAGCCAGGCTGTGGGAGGGCCGCAATATCAGGAGACACCAGCAGGGGGCAGCACCGGCCCACACTGGGCAGAAGGTCCTTCTACTTTTTCCCATGCCCTCCACTGGGTGCAGATGAGGCTCAGGGCCAGCGGCGTACTTGCCACAGGCTCAAGCTGGGGCCAGGACCCCTCCACAAAGAGCCAGGGCCTGGGTACGAGCACCCTGTGCTCCCCACATGGGCTCTGGGCAGGGCTGGAGCGGGCAACATATCTCTTGAGCTTTCCCAGAGAAGCTGGTCACTGGGGGAGAACCAACCCATCCCCGAGGTGGAGGGCAGCCAGACCACGCAGGGCCAGGTGATGCCCATGATGTAAGCCGACCCTGCCCACCCAGGGACCACGCCCCACCTGCCCAGAGCCGCGGCTCAGTCACCGTCAGCAGAGGCCGTCACTGGGTGTCGGGGTCTTGGAAGCCCCAGGCCTCTATGGCGGCAATGAGGAAGTTCTCGGAGCACAGGGGCTGGTTGTTAAAGGTGTCGCAGTGCCCGGTGCGGCCCCGGTTCAAGTCCCCATCGATGTAGAGCGCCTGGCCGCCACCTCCCCCTGTGGGAGGCTGAGGTCAGTGGCCACCTGTGCCCAGCACCGCTCCCCTCCCACCCACCAGGAGCCCAGCCCCGGATGGGAATCCAGCTCTCCTGGCTCTAAATCTCCCACCGACCTCCGCCCTCCCCGCCCAGCCCCTGGAACCTGCTGTCTAGGCCATGACTCCCAACCCCTTGCCTGGTCTCTCCAGCAGCACAGGGCCTCTTCTGTTGCTATCACGGGGCTCAGGTAAGACCTCTGGCTGGACATGGGGGTTTCAGCCTCCCCCCGCACGCCCCCCCACCCCGCGCCTTCCTCGCAGGACAGCCTGGGCCCAGGCTGGTGTGGAGGGAGTGGGCACCCACCGATGATGAGGCAGTCGCTGCCCCCCGCCATGAACATGGACTCGGTCTTGGAGGGCAGGTTGAAGTGCCGAGCAGCCAGGAAGGGGGAGAGCCGGTCAGCGGGGTCTGAGGACACGGGGTGGCTGAAGGGGGAGGGAGTGGCAGTGGTCTCTGAGGACAGGAAGGATGCTGTCTGCTTGCTCAGCTCTGGGTGCTTGATGACCACCCACTCATAACGCTGCACCTCTGGCTGCAGCTGAGGGCGAACGGGGAAGCGTGAGTTCCTGGCATGTGCCAACCCGCTGGGCGCCTTCTGCCCCTCCCCGCCAGCCCTGGCCGTCTCCAGTCCACCACTCTGCGGTGGGCCAGCTGGGCCCCGCTGGCTTGCAGGGGGGGGCGGGCTGGGCTCTCGAGGTGGGGGGCATTAGGGACTAGAGGCGAAGGAGATTGCCCCGGAGGGGGACCGCTAGAAGCAAGCCAGGGCCATGTAAGCCGGGGTGCCAGGGTTCAGGTCGCACCACTCCCCAGCAGAAGATGCTCGGCCCCACTTACCCGGAACACGAAGCATTCTCCAGTCCCAAAGAAGCAGAGTTTGCCGCCAAACTTATTCCTCTCGCTCCAGTCTGTTGAGAGGTAGGCGCCACACACCTGGGGAGGAGGGCTGGGCTGAGGCCTGGCGCTCAGCAGCACTGCCCGGTCCACGCCGGCTGGGGACAGCCACAGTGGCAGCCGGCGGGCGGGGCGCTACAGCTCCCCACCAGGAGCAAGGTGGGTGGGGAGAGGGCTCAGGTCGGGTCTTCCCGATACTTCTGTCCCCCCTACAGGCCCTCAAGTTCAGGAAGAAGCTCCCGGGACGGACCGTGTCCACACTGATGGTGGTGCCAGCCCAGTGACGGGCACGCTGGCCTGAGACCGGGTCCCCGGCCCGTCGGGGCCTCCTCACCTCCTTCTGCGTGGTCTTGATGAGCAGGAGGGTGGGCTCATGCCGTTCGCACTGGAAGTAGAACCTGCAGACAGAGACCACGCATGCCGCTCTGCGCCCCTCCTGGCCGCCCGCGGCAGCTGCCGAGCTGCAAGGCCAGGAGCCCGGAGTGGCCGCTCTGCGCTGTCTTGTATGCACCTTTGCGCCTTGCTGCTGCCCCGGCACCTGCCCCGGTGTGCGAGGGGAGGGAGAAGCCTCACAGCACATGTCCCCGTGGGCAGAGCCCAGTGCCAGGCGCCGTGGGCACTGGGGAGACCCAGAGGAAGAGGTCCTTGCTGAAGGTAGGCGGAGTGAAGTGGCTCCAGCTGTGCTAAAATGCTTGCACGGCGGTTGCAGACGGGCCTGGGTGGGGGCTGGGCCACTCTGCCTGCACCACCCTTGCCAGGTCACAAGCAGAGTTTGTGACTAACTCATCTGAGCCTTGAAGTGCTGAATCGGGGTGACCCTGCCCACGCTGCCCCAGGGCTGGGAGGGCAGGTGGCCTGCCTGGGGGAGACCCGGCCAGAATGCCACGCGGGTGGCGGGTGGAGTCACCGAGCCACGGGCTGGCACAGCTTCGGCCAGGCAAACTGCCACCTGCGCCGGGCCAGTGAGCCACACTGGGGGAGGGGTGGGGGAGAGAGGAGCCAGGAGGCCGGGCTTTGTCCCATTCAGTCCTCTCCTCGGTCCCATGCCCTCCCTCCCGAGGCGGAAGGCTACCTCTTCCCCTACGTCCCCCCGGAGCTGTAGTGTATGCACTAATGACCTTCAAAGTCTGGGCAGCCTGGGATAACAGAAGCCCAGAAAAAGGGCTTCAAATTCTCAGGCTCCATAAGTGAGGCTGGGCCTCCCTAGAGGCCCAAGCTCAAAGACTCATTTCTGGTCATCCCGTGGCCTCCCGCAGGTGGCAAGCAGGATACGCCTGAGGGCATCATGCGACTTCCCTGGGGCTCCAGAGCCTCACCTGGTCAGGCTGTACCCGTGCTGCAGGGAGGAGAAGAGAAGGAGGGGCTGGCAGAGGGCAAATCGCTCCGGGACCCACGACCAGATGTCTCTCATCTCCTTCACGCTGACAATCTCTGAGTGGAAGTTCTCTGCGTGCACGGCCAAGTGCACAAACTGCCTGCAAAAAGAAGGGAGGGGTCAGTACCCCCAGCCCTGCCACACACCGGGCCTGAGCCCAGCGCCTTTCCTTGAAACCAAGCTAAAGGGGACACCTCACTTCCTCAACCAGGCTCACAGCCTGGTTCCAGGTGCCAAACAGGATCAATCTGTTCTCTGGGATTCCCCCTTCCCTTCCCCTCTCCCTACCCCACCCCCTTTTCCCTTGCTTGCTACAGAGAGGGGACAGGAAGGGAACAAAAGCAACTTTTCTCTCATTAATCAAGACAGACTATAGCTCTGTGAGAAGAGTGCTGCGGGACTAGCCAAGCACCGGCAGATTATACAGCCAAGGCAGAAAAATGGATGGACAGACAGACAGACAAGACAGACAGATGAACCGTGCTGGAGTCAGGCTGAGGCAGTGCGTGGAAGCCAGCCCGAGAACCAGCCAGGCCCTGAGAAACAGCAAGCAGCCAGCTCACAGTGGGACAGCAGGAAAGCAGGGAAGCCAGGTGTGGAGGTGTGGTTCAGACCTACCTTTTAGAAAGCGAGACACTGAAAAACAGGAGGAAGCAACGGACACGGAGAAGAAAAATAAAATAGACAAGGAGAAGTTAGTGGTGGGTCCCGATCCCTGATCACACTTTCTTTGGCCCAGGAGAAAGAGAACTCCATGCCAACAGCCATGCCGACAGCACCATCTCAGCACGGGCTGTGAACCAGCACGCTCCCGGGGGCTGCACCCAGGGCTGTGAACCAGCTCGCTCCCGGGGGCTGTGCCCAGGACTGTGAACCAGCTCGCTCACGGGGGCTGCACCCAGGGCTGTGAACCAGCTCGCTCCCGGGGGCTGTGCCCAGGACTGTGAACCAGCACGCTCCCGGGGGCTGCACCCAGGGCTGTGAACCAGCTCGCTCCTGGGGGCTGCGCCCAGGGCAGGGAGGCCACACCAAGCCAGCCAGCTGCTGTGGAGGGCGCAACAGGGGCTGCTCTGTCCGACAAGACTCCTGGAGCCGGCCTGGCCCCGCTGTATCTTCTGACCCATGGGAGGTCCAGCGTCCCCCTCAGCCATGGGCCTTGGTCCCTGAGGGCAGGACCCTGTGGGTCTCATTCCGGATATAGCCAGGTAGCCCCTTCCTGCTTTCTCATGTCTTTCTATCCTCATGGGGCCAGGTAGACAGATGGCCAGAAGCAGACCAAGCGATCAGCAGGACGAGCTCACGCTCAGACCCCGAGGATGTACCACACCGAAGCTGCCCACTTGTGTGGAGACCCCTTGCAGGCTGCAGAGGCTTCACACACGCACCTACACATACACGCATGCACACGTGCACACACACACACACAGCCCAGGGCCGGCCTACCTCTTCTGCTTGACGGTGATGCCCTTCTGCTTCAGCGCTTTCTCATTGGCCATCTGCAGGAGCTGGATCTCCTTGCGGGAGAAGAGGCGGATGGCGAAAGCCTTCTCCAGCAGCTTCTCGGGGGACACCGTCTTGGCAATGTCCTTGACGAACATGCGGATGTCCTGTCTCACGTTGTCTGACTCGAGGGGCTGGCCCACTCTCACCTTGTGGAAGAATTTGAGGATGGCCAGAGCAACTCGGTACAACACCTTGTAGCCTTCGACGAGGAAGACATCAAAGACCCGGGCAAAGTAGTTGAGGGGCAGCTCGCCGAAGAGCCAGCGCTGCCAGTCAGAGTAGACCTGCAGGACATCCTCGGACACGGCCACCATGAGCTTGTGGGCCGCCTGGCAGTACTTGTTCACCAGGTCCCCGAACGTCATGCAGGAGGACTCGAAGGCCAGGAAGCTCTGGTCGATGAGCTTCTTGCTGGGGTCGTTGCAGGCTAGGATGCGGCAGGCCTTCTCGAAGCACTCGGCCTCGTCGATGCTGTAGTGCAGCAGCAGGGCCACCACAGCCGGCAGAGCGGGGCAGAAGGAGATGTCGGGGAACTGGTTGGCGATGCACAGGAGGATCTTGCGCACGGCGCCCTCACCCCGGGCATTCAGGCAGTAGGTGGGCACCTGTGTGTTGTCTACGAACTCGGGCAAAGGCAGGCTGCTGCTGCTGTGCTTGCCCACGATCTTGCCCACGATGTCGCTGTACACGCTGGCATCCGGCGTGACTGTGCGGCAGGGGATGTCTCGGATCAGGCGCTGGTACACCTTCCCCCGAAGGGCGTGGCTCTGAGCCCAGTAGCCCTGGCGCGCCAACTGCTTCAGCTCCTGCAGCTCCGTGCAGCTCAGCTCCTTGGGCCCCAGGTCCTGGATGGCAGCATCCATCTTGTCCCTGTCCACAAAGCAGTTGTACCCTGGGGAGTCCATGGCGCCTGGTGTGTCTGGGAGGAGAGCCCTGGGCTGCCAGCAAGGAGAACAGAGTCGTTAAATCATCCAGCCCCCTTTCCAGAATTTTCCCTCCAACCTGCCTGCCATCCCAGACCCTGTAAGACTGAAGCATACACATCCAAAAAAAAAAAGTCACCTTTTAAAGATTTTGCCTCGTTTTCTAAAAAGTATTCTTGCTTAAAAAAAAAAAAAAAAAAAAAGTGGCCGGGAGCTGGTGGCTCACGCCTGTCATCCTAGCTACTCAGGAGGCTGAGATCTGAGGATCACGGTTCAAAGCCAGCCCAGGCAGCAAAGTCCGTGAAACTCTTATCTCCAATTAACTACTGGAAAACCCGAAGTGGTGCTGTGGCTTAGGCAGTAGAGCACTCGCCTTGAAGAGCTCAGGGATAGCGCCCAGGCCCAGAGTTCAAGCCCCATGACCTACCAAAAAAAAAAAAAAAAGTGTTATTACTTTTGTCAGTTGTGGGTCCTGAACTCTGGGCCTGGGCGCTGTCCCTCAGCTCTAGCGCTCTACCCCTTAAGCCACAGCACCACTTCTGGCTTTTTCTGCTTATGTAGTGCTGAGGAATGGAACCCAGGGCCTCATGCATGCAAGGCAAGCGCTCTACCACTGAGCCACCTTCCCAGCCCCTATTATTATTATTATTATTTTGCCATTCCCAGAGCTTGAACCCCTGAGCTCCTTTTGCTCAAGGCTAGCATTCTACCATTTGAGTCACAGTGCCCACTTCTGGCTTTTCTATAATTGAAGAATCTCCTGCCTGGGCTAACTTTGAACTGCAATCCTCAGATCTCAGCATCCTGATAGCTAGGATTATACATGTGAGCCACCAGCGCCTGGCATCTAAAAACTACTCTCCGTAAAGTACTACTCCATTTAGGATACGTGGCAGGGCTGGACCGAGGACTCACGTGGTAGAGCGCCTTTCTTGTAAGCACAGGGCCTGGAATTCAAACCCCAAGACTGAAAGCAAAAAGAAAGAAAAAAACAAAGTGCAGTTCTAAGAAGTCCTTACGAACTTCTCAACACCAAACTTGTCACGTGGTTCCAAGTAAGAAGCTTGGACTGGGTCCCAGAGGGCTACAGACAGCTCTCCACCTGGGGAGATCCTCTCAGACTCCTTGGCCTGACAGCTATCTACCGAGGAGCCAGGATCAGAGGAGACCGCTGGCAATGCCTTCTTGGAGCCTGTGAGAGGAGTGCGGGAGCCGCTGCGAGGTGGCCGGGCACCTGCTGCTCCCTGTGTCAGATGGAGCTCTGAACTCAGCTCCTAACTTCCTGATCCTGCCCGCTTGAAAGCTAGGTTCTCGGTAGGTAATTCCGGACGAATCACTGTGGGGAGAGCTGAGAAATCGCAGCACATACATGCCGGTCTGGGAACCAGACATTTCTGGGCCCACAGAGCCAGTGTTGGGATTCGGTGCTGGCTGGTCACGTGGGCAGCTACCCCAACTGGCAATGTGCTACTCCAGACTCTGGACAGGGAGCTCTGACACCTGCCGCTGCCCCAGGCTGCCGTTCTGCACGGGCAGCACGGAATCTCCATGCACATCACACGAACCTTTCTGCCCAGGACGGCCCAAGAATCTAGAGATGTCACAGGAGTCAGCTTCAGTGGGTGTTGGCAAATGACTACACTGTTCTGGTTTCTCTTGCATCTAGAACCTTCACCTGAAAATCGAAGAAAAGAAAAAGAATTACGAAGTAAAATCTAATGTGTAGGGCTGTCCTGAGAACGCATCTTGGCATGGTGCTATGTGTGGTAAAATACACATGAAATGTACCACTTGGCCCGGTGGCAGAATTCAGTGGCACCAAGTCCCTTCCACATTGCTGTGCTACTATGGCCCACCCTCTCCACACCATTCCACCTTTCCAAAGTGGAACTTTCCCGCTTAAACAGTAACTCCGGCCTTCTTTGCTCTCCTGCCTTCCTCCTTCTCTGCTTCCCTCCTTCCTCTTTTTTTTTTTTTGGGTCCGGTCGTGGGGCCTGAACTCTGGGCCTGGGCCTGTCCCTCAGCTCTTCAGCTCATGGCTAGCGCTCTCCCACTTGAGCCACAGCGCCATTTCTGGCGTTTTCTGTTTATGTGGTGCTAAGAATCAAACCCTCATGCACGCAAGGCAAGCACTCTACCACTAATCCACCTTCCCAGCACCTACTATTCTAATTTTTGTCCTCATGAATTTGTTCTAGGTACCTTGTATGAGTACATTATTTGTCCTTTTTTTCTTTCTGTGCTAGTCCTGGGACTTGAACTCTGGGCCTGGTACTATTCCTGAACTATTTTTGCTCAAGGCTAGCATTCTACCACTTGAGTTACAGCCCTATTTCTGGCTTTTTGGTGGTTTATTGGAGATAAGAGTCTCATAGACTTTTCTGCCTGGGCTGGCTTTGAACCACAATCCTCAGAACTCAGCCTCCTGAGTAGCTAGGATTACAGGCGTGTAGCCAGGATTATACTGGCGCCTGGCTTATTTGTCCTTTTGACTGATTTATTTCTCTTAGCACAATGATCTCAAAGTTAATCCATGGGTAGCCACCAGCAGAACTTCCTTTTCCTTTTCCTGGAGGGAGGAGAGGGATGACACGGAGCCTCTCTGTGCAGTCCTCAAACCCTCCCTCATCCTGCTCAGCCTCCCTCCTGAGTGCTGAGATAGTAGGCATGCTCTGCCACGCTGGGGCACAGATTCTTATCCTTTCAAGGCCCAGATATATTCTGTCTATGGAGGGACCAGTTTTGTCCCTGTGGATGGGTGGACACGTGGGTTGCATCCACCTCTGGGTTACTGTGGATAATACTTCCATGAAGAAGGTCACAACACTTTCAGTGTTTCAGGCTTACACTCACTGATGGGTTTACAGAGGCTTTCCTATAGAAAACACTCACTAAGGGCTGGGAAGGTGGCTCAGTGGTAGAGCGCTTGCCTTGCATGCATGAAGCCCTGGGTTCAATTCCTCAGCACCACATAAGCAAAAAGAAAAAAGCCGGAAGTGGCGCTGTGGCTCAAGTGGTGGAGCGCTAGCCTTGAGCTGAAAAGCTGAGGGACAGCGCCCAGGCCCAGAGTTCAGGCCCCATGACTGGACCCAAAAAAAAAAAAAAAAAAGAAAGAAAGAAAGAAAGAAAAAGAAAAGAAAACACTCACTAAAACAAAGTTTTCTGGGGCCAGGGGTGTTTGTTCCTCAGTGGTAGCATACTTAGTGAGCATACTCCAGACTATGGATTTATTTCCCAGTACTGCAAATGAAAGAAAAATGAAGGTCTTCTAATAAGCATCACCATCATATTAATGTGATGGGTTTTTTCTTTCTTTTTTTCTTCTTTTTGCCAGTCGTGGGATCTGAACTCTGGGCCTGAGCGCTGTCCCTCAGCTCTTCAGCTCAGGGCTAGCACCCTACCATTTGAGCCACAGTGTCACTTCTAGCCTTTTCTGCTTATGTGGTGCTGAGGAATCAAACCCAGGACCTCATGCATACAATGCAAGCGCTCTTACTACCAAGCCGCCTTCCCAGCCATTAATGTGATTTTAATACATCCCATTGGAAAAGCCCGGCCCACACAGGACCAGGCCTGCTGCCTGGCTGGTCCCATCAGCAGAAAGCATCTAGTTGGTAGTCATGAAGGTCACTTTGTTTTGGGAGGGACAGCAGTGGGGGTCTCCTCTCCTCCCTGGCTCTGAAGAGGTCATCAGGACAGCCTGTCTGTGGGCACACAGCTCAGCGTCTCACATCTGAGTTATCTATGGAGTCTGAACTCTCCATTCTGGGTTCACAGACCTCTAAAGCCAGCCTAGACCCATCCTGTGTGGGCGAAAAGAACTTGCTCCTTCTCTGTGCAATAAACATGTTTATCACCATAATGGGAGCTGTGCAGCGCAGCACCAGCCTTCACTCTGCGCGCCCTACATTCAGGTTGAATATTAAACTTGAATCTCCAAAGGCAATGCCTGTACTTTGCAGGTTACCTCCCAGAGAAGTAGTAAAAAGGTGTTTGGTGTTTGGTGTGGGGGGAAAATAATCAGGACACGCTGGATGTAAAGAGACCCCACATTTCATGATCTGTTTCCCTCTCCAGGCCACAATAAGAAAAGAGGGCTGGGGCTGGGAAGGTGACTCAGTAATAGAGCACTTGCCTTGCATGCTCGAGGCCCTGGGTTCGATTCCTCAGCACCACATAAGCAAAAAGAAAAAAGCCGGAAGTGGCGCTGTGGCTCAAGTGGTAGAGCGCTAGCCTTGAGCTGAAGAGCTGAGGGACAGCGCCCAGGCCCAGAGTTCAGGCCCCACGACCGGACCCAAAAAAAAGAAAAGAAAAGAAAAGAAAAGCGGGCTGTTTCTGGGGCCTAATGGAAAGGACATCTGTAAAACGGGTCCAGAGCAGTTGTTTCCTACAAAACATTTTATTGCCTAAGTGATATAGGAAAAATTCTGCTCTATACCTGCTGACTCATGAGGTTCAGGTGGCAGGGCTTCCACAAACTGTCTGCCAGGGGACAACTACTTTACTGAGGGTCATCAGGCATGAATGAATGTCCCCAGAGAAGCTGGGGGGGGGGGCAGGGAGGCTGGAGTGATGAGAGGAAAGCGGCTGGAGGAGAGCTGAGCAGAGCCCGGCGCAGTGCACAGGGCAGGCCCTGGGGCAGGGACAGGTTCTGTGGAGAGAATGGAGCAGCAGATTGTGCATGGGAGGGGCAGCGGGCACCCCGGGCTGCAGGTGCACAAGCAGAGTCTGCAGGTTTTGCTAAATGCAGTGGGAAGCAGGGAAGTGTGCGATCCAACTGGCGTTTCTGTTGTGAAGATAAAAAGTCTATAGGAAGCACTCCATCAGCATGGCTGCTCAGCCATGCAGCGTTTCCCAGCTGGGACTGCCCCTCAAGTCCCCTGCCCGGCACTTGGTGGACACTCAGGAGCACCTAGGAGTGACACCCTGCAGGGCAGTGACTGGGAGTCCTGTGGAGAGGAGCAGTGTGAGAGACTCAGCCGTGCAGCCGAGTGCTGGTGAGGATTACCAAGCATGCTCTCAAGCCCGGCTTCCCTGCCCGGCCACTTCCTCTCCCTCACTGTGAGCTCCTCCAGCGAGCTTCGCCTCTACTGGCATACCACGTGAGAGCTCAGTGCACTCAAGAAGGCAAGCAAGCATTTCTTTAACAGGAGAAAAGATATCAGGTAGCAGTGGCTCACGCCTGTCATCCTAGCTACTCAGGAGGCTGAGATCTGGAGGATCTATTTGAAGCCAGCCCAAACAGAAAACTCCATGAGAGGGCTGGGAAGGTGGCTCAGTGGTAGAGCGCTTGCCTTGCATGCCTGAGGCCCTGGGTTCGCTTCCTCAGCACCACATAAGCAAAAAGAAAAAAGCCGGAAGTGGCGCTGTGGCTCAAGTGGTAGAGCGCTAGCCTTGAGCTGAAGAGCTGAGGGACAGCACCCAGGCCCAGAGTTCAGGCCCCACGACCGGACCACAAAAAAAAAAAGAAAAAAATAAAACTCCATGAGACACTCTCTAAAATAACCAATGAAGAATCTGGACTAAAGGCTAAAGAAGTAGAGTGCTAGCTGAGAAAGCAAGCCAAGTAAAATGCAAGGCCCTGAAGTTAAACCCTAGTATGAACAACAACAACAAAAAGTAGATAAAACAAGTTTCTTTCTTTCTTTTTTTTTTTCAGTCATGGGGCCTGAACTCTGGGCCTGGGCGCTGTCCCTCAGCTCTTCAGCTCAAGGCTAGTGCTCTACCACTTGAGCCACAGCACCACTTCCAGTTTTCTAGTGGTTTATTGGAGATAAGAGTCTCATGGACTTTCTCGCCCGGGCTGGCTTTGAACCAAGACCCTCAGATCTCAGCCTCAGTAGCTAGGATTAAAGGCGTGCACCACTGCACTGGCTAAGTGTGTTTCTTTTTAAGAACAAAACAAAACAGGCGGGGCACTGGTGGCTCATGCCTACGATCCCAGACCCAGGGGCAAAGATGTATGGTAGAGCGCTCACCTCGCACATATGAGGCCCTGGGTTCGATTCCTCGGCACCACATGAGCAGAAAAAGCCAGAAGTGGAGCTGTGGCTCAAGTGGTAGAGCGCTCGCCTTGAGCTGAAGAGCTGAGGGGCAGCGCCCAGGCCCAGAGTTCAGGCCCCACAACCGACAAAAAAAACCCAAAACAAAAACAAAGACAGCGCCAAGCACCCATGGCTCACGGCTGTTATCCCAGCTACTCAAGAGGCTGAGATCTGAGGACTGAAGTTCCAAATCAGCCTGGGCAGGAGAGTCTGCGAGACTCATCTCCCTTCTGAACACCAGCAATTTGGAAGTGAAGCTTTGGCTTAAACGACAAAGCACTAGCCTGAAGCGAAAATGCTCAGGGACAGTCCCCAGGTCCTGAGTTGAAGCTCTAGTATGGGTATGCACATGTGCACACGCCTGCACATGCATGCACACACATACACAGATACAAAGGAGTACTAGAGGGTGCCCAGCCCAGGAAGGAAGACCTGGCCTGATGGACTCTGCAGGGCCTGGAACCTTCCCCACGGTCACGGCTCCCTCTGCGAGTGGGCTAGCCGGGCTGGAGTAGCCCTGCCCCAGTTCCTTCCTCCACAAGCTCAGGACTCACTTCTCAACAAACACTGCTTCAGCCCGGCAGTCACGGGACCTCTGCTTTCTCATCTCTAAGCGGAGGACATAATTTTCCCCAACAGTTGGATTTGAAAACAAACTCACTCCCATGTGACAAACACACAGCCTCCCATTCAGCCTTGGTGATTACATCTGACACCTACCGCACTGGCTGCTGAGCCTGCCTTCCCGACTGCCTCTCCTGGCCACGGGGAGCAGAGGGGCCCACAACCATGGCTCCCTTTGCCCCAGACCATTATTCATTCTCTAAACTTCTAGTGAGGTCTGGCCTCTTCCCTGCTGGCCCCAGGCTGGGGCCTGGAGATAAGACAGGGTGACAGTGGCGGTGAAGGAGACTCACAACCACAAATGCACATGGGGAGCGGGGGGAGGCCCGAGCCGGGGACGTGGAGGAAGGGGCTGGCTCGGCACTGGAGCGCAGAAGGGTGGTGGCACCCCAGGTCTATAAGACATGCGGTTGGCCTGCTGCGGGGCTGAGACAGATCTACGGAAAGGGCATGGCAGTGTGGCAGGGCCTTCGTGGGCAGTGCCAAGGGGGTGGGGTGGCATGAGAGACAGCAGGCTCTGGGCCCATGTAAGGGGCAGTACGAAAGGTTAAGTTCCTGACACTTCAGACTAGCATTTAGAAAAAACTCCCTAGTCTGAGATCTGAGGATCGTGGTTCAAAGCTAGCCTGGGCAAGGAAAAGTCCATGAGACACATCTCCAAGAACCACCAGAAAACTGGAAGTGGTTCCAAGAGGTAGAGCACTAGACTTGAACAAAAGAGCTCAGAGACAGTGCCCAGGCCCTGAGTTCAAGCCTCATGATTGACAAAAAGAAAAAGAAGAAAAATCCTCCTAGTGGCAAGTATGGTGGTTCAAGATTGTCATCCTAGCTACTTGAAAGGCAGAGATTAGAGGAAAAGGAAATGAAAAGAGAAGAGGAGGAGAGGAAGGAAAGATCTCCTTGGTGGCCTAGAATGAGGGGCAGAGAAAGGAGGAAAAGTCTAGCTAAGAAGGGAGTGGCTGGGGTTGGGAAGGTGGCTCAGTGGTAGAGCGCTTGCCTTGCATGCTCGAGGCCCTGTGTTCGATTCCTCAGCACCACATAAGCAAAAAGAAAAAAAGCCGGAAGTGGCGCTGTGGCTCAAGTGGTAGAGCGCTAGCCTTGAGCTGAAGAGCTGAGGGACAGCGCCCAGACCCAGAGTTCAGGCCCCACGACCGGACCCAAAAAAAAAAAAAAAAAAGGGGCTGGGAAGGTGGCTCAGTGGTAGAGCGCTTGCCTTGCATGCCTGAGGCCCTGGGTTCGATTCCTCAGCACCACATAAGCAAAAAGAAAAAAGCCAGAAGTGGCGCTGTGGCTCAAGTGGTAGAGCGCTAGCCTTGAGCTGAAGAGCTGAGGGACAGCGCCTAGCCCAGAGTTCAGGCCCCATGACTGGACCCAAAAAAAAAAAAAAAAAAAAGGAAGTAAGTGGCTGGAGCAGGGTACCGGTAGCTCACACCTGTCATCCTAGCTACTCAGGAGGCTGAGATCTGAGGATTGAGGTTCAAAGCCAGCCCGGGCAGGAAAAGCCATGAAGCTCTGAGGTGGTGCTGTGGCTCACATGGTAGAGCACTTGCCTTGAGCTAAAGAGCTGAGGGACAGCGCACACACACACACACACACACACACACACACACACACGCCTGGCCAGCCAAGGAGGGTACTCATGGTGATTTCAATGAGATCTTCTCAAGCAAGTGCCTGGCCAGTTCAGAGCACAGGCGAGGCCCAGCTGGCCTCTCAACAATGGCTTGTCCCTGTGGTGCCCGAGGGGAGGGAGGCCCCGGCACATTCAGACACCAGGGAAAGGTCAAGGCAGTGATGCCAGACTCGTTTGAAGGACCCCAGGCCTAGAAACCTTCCCAGATTCCAATGAATACCCACCCCGACCGCCCCACAGGACCAGGCTGACCGGGACCTGGGCCCAGGCCTCGCTGAGCTTTGGTCCCTGCCAGCAGTGGTGGTGACCGCTGCTGCCCAGCTCGGCTCTTGCCCGGCACCGCAGCAATCCCTACACGTGTTCCCAGAGTGCAGGAGCGGACATGGAGAAATGAAGAGCAGAGGAAGTGAAATACGTGCTCCAGCCCAAGCACGCAGGAAACCTTGATGCACAGCCTCAACGGACAGCAGCCAGAGGGGCAGGGAGAGGCACAGGACAGAGAAGTACCTGTTCTTCTTGGGAAGGCTCCTACTGGGACTCAAAGCATGCCCACGCCTGCCCTTCAGCCTTGCTGAGCACCATCGATGCCCGCCGGTCTCCATAAGGCAAGATAAGCAGACAGTTAAGGAGACAGAGGCCTCCACATCTGCTTGGCATCAACCATGCCCACTAGGCCAGAGAGACGGCCTGAAAGCCGACAAGCCCCATTCCAGCCCCAGGGTGTGCTGTCTAGGGATGAAGAGGACACAGTCATTACCACAAGATGACTCTGATGCCTGATAAGAAGATACTTAGAGTGCCAGGGACGCCCCAGGGCGTGGGTTGAGAGCAGAGTGCGGGGGAGGCGTGTTTGGTGGCTGAGAGTGCAGGTGCCGTGGCCAGGGAGTCTAGAAGCGTGTCCAGGCAGAACAGGGGGCAGGTGCGTGGAGAAGAGGTGCTGGTGTTGTGGGGGGTGATCTACAGGTACATTTGCCCAGACGCAGGGAGGGAGAAGGCTGGAGAAACACACTGGACAGCTGGAGGGGCCATGGCTGGGCATGGAAGAGTCCCAGCTGGTGGGAGCGAGGGCAGAGGGAGCCGCTAGCACCCGGCGGCAGGTGGTGGTCACACCCTCCTGGACCCTTCCTCTCAGCGGTCCAGTCTTCCTCCCCACCCGCCACAAAGAGGGCAGAGGCCCACTGTGTCCATCCCCAAGACCTACTGGACATTCCAGAGACACAATCACCTTTAGGACCTGGTCAGGAATCCTGGGCAGGCGCGAGGCGGTGGTGTGAAGAGGTTGGCAGCAGCTGCTTATCCTCTTAAGTCTTGGCACATGTCAGGACTCTGAGAATTGAGAGAAAGGAGCCACTGGTCTGATGCGCCCGCTGCACATCCCTTCCTTCTCTTTCTCTGTCTCTCTTTCTCTCTGCTAGTACTAGGTCTTGAATTCAGGGCTTGTTGCTCTATTGTTTGTTTGTTTGTTTTTCCACTCATAGCTGGAACTCTACCATTAGAGCCATGCCTCCAGTTATGGCTTTTTATTGGTTACTTAGAAATGAGTCTTGTGGACTTTTCTATCTAGGCTGGCTTCAAACCTTGAGCCTCAGATCCCAGCTTCCTGAGTAGCTAAGATTACAGTAGTGAGCCACATCCACTCTTTCCAGAACCTTTTCAATACCTACACTAAGTGTCTGCAGCCAAGCTAGGTATAGCAGATACAGAAATAAGACACCTGGCAGAACAGGTGGAAAAACAGATTTGTACGCACATGAAGATAGAGGCGCAGAGAAGGCAGAAGTGGGCCATAGCTAGAGGAGCTGGTGGAGGTTCTGGAAGCTGTTCTCGGAGGGGATTAGACAGCACTCAGCCTGGATGGCGGTGGGAGTGGGGTGGGCATTCTGGGTGAAGGACCCGCACAGGTGGCGCAGGGAAGAGAGACTCGCTGACCACAGCGGCTCCTCCCCGAGCGCGCGTCTGTGTGGTGGGGAGGACAAATCGAAAAGGCCCTTGTCCCGCCAGGAGGCTCTACCTTTGTCCTACCGGGGACGGATGGGTGCCAGGGCATGGGGCACTGAGGCAAGGAAGCAGCCAAGCTTTCTACTTGGGATCTGGTTTTGTTTTGTTCTGGAAGTCTGCAAAGTGGAACCAGAGGCAGCAGCCATTACGATTGTTCCGCTCGCTGGGGGGCATCGGGGGCAGCTGGCTGCACGGGGCGGGCTCCGGCCTGGGCTTCCCATGCAGACTGTGGCTGTCAGGGTGGAAGAGGCGCTGCTTCAGCACCGGCATATTTTGAGCACACTCCCCTGGACCCCCACTGAACCCCCACTTCTGGAGAGAACCTCCCCCTGTAGGTGGCAGAGCCATGGCTAAACAGAGGCCTTCCCTACCCCTTGCCTTACTCCTCTGCGTGTTTTTTTTAACCTCTACTCCCAGGACCATCCCCCAACCAATAATTTCTCTCTCAAGAGGTGAACTCCTCTACAGTAACCTCACCCCTTCATTCTCCCCGAGTACCCCTCTCCCTCCTTCCCTCCCAGGGCTCCTGGCTGAGCTCTGTGGGCCTAAGTCTTGCGCCCTGTGCTGCCCTCTGCTAGCAAAGCCAGGAAGCAGCTCAGCCCCAGCTCTCAGGACCCTCCCACTGGAAAGCCTGTCCATCCCCACCCCCTTACCACACCCAGGCCAGCAGACTGCTCAGGGGTTCACAAACACCCCCTCTCTCCTAATACCCTTCCTCAGTACCACTTCCCCTTCACCCATATGCCAGTCTTTATCTCTTTTTTTTGTGCCAGTCCTGCAGCTTGAACTCAGGGCCTGGGTGTTGCCCCTGTGCCTCTGTGATCAAAGCTAGCACTGCAATGTGTGAGTCGCACCCACTTCCAGCTTCTTAGGGGTTACTTGGAGGGAAGAGTCTGACTGGCTTTCCTCCCGTGATGGTCTGAACGCTCAGATCTCAGCCTCGCAGGTGGCCTGGGTGACAAGCACGAGCCACTGATGCCACCCTCTGTATTCCTGGAAGCTCAGCCTAGACCAGTGAGGCTCACCCAAGCCTCAGCTTCCACCCTCCTGTCTGCTTGTCTCAGTGCCCGGCACAGGCCAGCCAGGCCGAAGCAAGCTTCGTGATGCCTGTACTTAAGCCTCAGAGGGGGAAAGTGAAATCAAGCCACATGCTCACAGGACCTGCACAGGGCTGGCACCTGGTGCTGCCCCGAGGCCTTGTCTGCTCACCTTCAGCACCCTCCCGTTTCTGGATTCTGGCTCACTGCTGGGGACTGAGGCGGGGGAAGGGAGAGGGCTGCCAGGCAGGAGCTGCCACTTTATCTGCATCCCCACAGCTGCCATGGCCCAAGTCCAGGTTCACCTTGTGGACTCCCTGTCCCATGCATGCTGGCTGAGACAGTGCCGGCTCCACTCTTAGCTCTGCCTCTCCATTTTGACCGTAGCAGGCTCCACCCAACTCCTTCCTGCAGAGCTTCTCTGCCTGCTAGCATGGCTGCCACGTAGAACAGAAACCTCGCGTGGGGTGTCTGCCCGCTGCGCCAGCTCTGTGCTCATTCCCGACTCTTCAATGTCTTGAAGAGGGCCTGGGCACTGTCCCTAAGCTCTTTCGCTCAAGGTTACGATTCTACTACTCTAAGCCACAGCACCACTTCTGGTTTTCCAGTGGTTAATTGGAGATAAGAGTTTCATGGACTGTCCTTGCCCAGGCTGGCTTTGAACTGCCATCCTCAGCCTCCTAAGTAGCCAGGATTACAGGCGTGTGAGCCACCAGCGTCTGGCCCCTCAGTGTCATTTTGTAGTAATCTGGCTTCCTCTGGCCCAGAAGCTCCCACGTGGGCTTCAGTCCCACGCCTCCCGTGGCTTCCGTGGCTTCCCACAACCTCCATGTTCCACACGATTCCCATGTAACTCAGCTCCAACTCCCGGCCCACCCACTGTGCTCAAGGCTTGGCCCGTGGCAGCCCCCCTGAGACACGTCCTGCCCCCTTCCTGCCCCTCCTGCAGTGGCTCAGGGGCACGGTGCCAACAGGGTTACACTCATGACATGCCAGGCTCAGAAGGAACGTCCCTGTGGGGAGGAGAAGCAGAACACGCCATCCTCTTCCGATCACCCCTCCTTCCCAGCGCTCCGGGGCCAGGGCCTCCCTGTCCAAATCTGTCTCCATTCTTGGCAGTGAGATGTTGCAGTGGCCTGCTTCCACGTCCCACTCTTCTACTGGACGGTGACTCCCCTCCCCAGTGTGCCCTGGCAAGCGGGAAATGGAGGAGGAAACAGGCAGCGACTCGAGAAAATCGCAAATAACTTGGGCCCAAGATGAAATTTAATTTTGAAGGCTGAATCACAACAGACCGCGTTGCCAGCTGGTCCCAGGCAGTGGCCTTCCCCAGTAGGCAGCTTCACCTGACAAGGAAGGCCAGGTGGACTCCGCCCTCCGCGCTGAAGCACAGCATAGAAATCTGCCAAACGTGAGTGGTGACTGGCACCCCACAGTGACTACCAAACCGCTGGAGACAGGGAACTCAATAGTGGGCCCTTTGCTGGTGGCACACAAGAGCAGGCACGTGCAGGTGCAGCAGGGATGTAACCAGTAATGAGGTGTTAGTCACAGCACCGCGGGCCAGCTGGCCTGCCAGCGAGCGACTGGACGTTCAAGCGCAGGGCTCGGCAGTGCAGTGGTACCTGAGCACCCCCCCCCCCCCCCACTGGACTGTGAGGAGGGCCTTTGAGGCTCAGGCTTGGCTAGCCACTCAGAATGGCTTCCAAGTTCCCTGTGTCCTTTTCCTGGGCAGAATACCTTCTCTCAGACTAGTCTGGCTTGCTCACAGTGGCTGGAATGAGGCTCTGCTCGTTCAGTATCTTTTATTGTCTGAACTCAAAAGGGTTTTCCCAACAGCAGGTCAGGAAAAACACATCGCAGGACACAGAATAAGAATCTGTAGAAAAGAGAGAACGCAGCCAAAACCCAGCAGCACTAGAATTTTGATGGACCTGAGTTCCAAGTAAGTAATATGAGACAGGTGGCCCTGTGGAAAGCCAGGCACAGGGCAGGTTCTCAGCACGCACCTCCAGAGCTAGCTAGCCTGCCTCCTGGGATGCAGTCCTGAAGGCTGAATCATTTTAATAGGCATTCAGAATGCTTCCTGCATGCCAGGGTGCCAAGGACTGGAGCTCAGACAGGCGAGGCCTCACCCCAGTTCTCAGTGAGCGCTGGCTCGGGACAGTGTACTGACTACAATGATGAGAAGGCAGGTGCTATGACTGGAAGGCAAGGACACTGCCCCACACACAAGGACAAAGGGTTCAGGGAAGGATTTTTAGAGCCAAAGCTTGCCCCAGCTGGGACCTGAAGAATAACAAAGAATAAGGAAGTATCTGAGACAGCATGCGCAAAGGACAGGGCCACAAAAGACAGAACGCACCTGGAGCCGGGGCACAGGCCAGTGAGCATCCCTGCGCTCAGATTAAGTAAGGCGTGCTACAGTCCAGCTCACAGGCTGAAGGAGCCTTAGGGCCCAGGAGTCTCTGTGCTGTCCCCAAGGGACAGCGTCCTGAAGTCTGGGAGTGAGATACCTTCCCTACACCACAACTTGATCCTCCTAAGGCCTGCAGGTATCCAAGTCAGGAAGGCTAGAAGGATTTTTGCTAGCATAGGAACGGTGTGGGGTAATCAGGGATCAGAAGCAAAATGACTCAAGGAAAGGCTGGCAGGACAGAGCTGAGGAAGCTTTTGGTGGGGCCCAGGAATGAGCTGCACTCAGAACAGTCAACAGGCTTTTATTGGTAACAATAGAAGAGTGTGTAGCATCCAATTATAACTGTAACAAGCATTTGTGATGATACACACTGGCACTTGGGAGGCTGAGTCGGGAGGAACCACAAGTTTGAGGGCAACCCAGGCTACAGAGCAAGGCTCTGTCTCAAAAAACAAAACCAAGAGCAACAAAACTGAACGAACTATGTAAGGATCAGGGAGACACACAGTTTCAGACATAGTTAGAGAAACAGTCCAAGCTGTGTCCGGAGCAGTCTCAGCCATTTGAGCACGCCCTGGTGTCAGGAGGGAAACCACCATTGCTTACACACACCCTAGAAGCGGGAGCTGTAAACCTTGCGCAGACAGAGGCGTACTCCGCAGTGTCAGCTTTTCCTCATCTTTGTCCAAGGAGGCCCCCAGAGTGGGAAAAGATTGGAGAGTGAACATCAGACATCTACCCTTAGGCCATTCTTTCCAAAGTCCTGCTTGCTTTAGCAGCAAGGGGTTCTGGAGAAGCAAGGCATTGCTAAGAATTCTGCGACTGTGGATCCTTGGGCCTGAAGGGTTTTGACCCCCTTCCCCCAAACTCCGAACACTCTTCCAGGACTAATCTGTAGTATAAAAAATGCTATCTTTTGAGATAAGTGACACCTAATCTAAAGGCTTCCCTAAAGGTAAGCACAGGTAAGACAATAAAGTCTCCGGAAGGACAGAGGAGCCACTGGAGTTTGTACCTTTAGTGTCTGATATCCCTGAAACAGCTCTCCACTCTACCCCCATCCACCAAGCCAACAGCTAATCAATTAGCCTTCTGTTCTCTTACTGCTTTTCTTTGTGCCTGTGCTATGGCTTGAACTCTAGGATCCTCATGCTCACTCAGCTTTTCCAATATGGCAGGTGCCCTACCATTTGAGCCACACCTCCACTAATGGCTTTTTACTGGTTAGAGACAAGAGTCTCAGGGGTTTGTTTATCTGAAGTAGCTTCAAACTGATTCTCAGATCTCAACCTCCTGAGCAGTTAGCATTATAGGCATGAGCCATTGGTACCCAGCTTTTATTTCCTAATTGTTTAAGGATGTAATATTTACGAGTACCAAATTCTTGGGCCTAGGGCTGGGAAAGTGGCTTAATGGTGCTTATCTAGCATGCACGAAGTCCTGGGTTCAAATCCTCAGTAACACATAAGCAGAAAAAGCAGGAAGTGATGCTATGGCTGAAGTGGTAGAGTGCTAGCCTTAAGCAAAAAAAGCTTAGGGACAGTGCCCAGGCCCTGAGTTCAAGCCTCATGACTGGCAAAAAAAAAAGGAGGGTCTGGCACTCAAGGCCTTTCCCAGTGTGCCACCAGCCTAACTCCCTACCTTCCCCTCCCTCTCTTCTCCTTAGGGCTCCCGACACTGCCCTTCTCCAACAGCTGAAGGCGGGACCATGGCTCTGTGACTCCATACATACCATTCCTCTGTCTGGAGCGTTCTCTCTCATACGTTTATCATTAAAACGAAGCTTCAAGCCCTTCTCTGAGTCCCTCTGCCCACCACCCTCTAGCTGGATGTTAGTCCCTTTACACCACAGCATGCTCTGTCCACTATTCTTTTGTTCTTGTTGTTGTTGGTTGTGAGGCCTAAACTCTGGGCCTGGGCGCTGCCCTCAGCTCTTCAGCTCAAGGCTAGCGCTCTACCACTTGAGCCACAGTGCCACTTCCGGCTTTTTTCTTTTTGCTTACGTGGTGCTGAGGAATCGAACCCAGGGCCTCATGCATGCAAGGCAAGCGCTCTATCACTGAGCCACCTTCCCAGCCCCCTGTCCACCATTCTTAAAACATCTATTACCACACATTTCTTTGCCTGTTTCCTCACCCCTCTGTAAAGCAACTTAAAAGTAGAGATCCAATCTCAGTGCTCTCTGTGTCCTCAGCACAGTGCCTCCTCATATGAAGTCAACAAATGTTGAGAGAGAATAAGGAAACTCTTTGGACGATGAATTCAGTCTGGTTCTTAGTAAAAGGCCTGAGGTTTTGTTTCATTGATATTATCTCCATTTGGAAGGTGACGGCTACAAACAGCCACTGAAATTACTGCTTCAAGTTGAAAAGGGCTTCTTTCTTCCATTCACAGAGTTGTCATAACAGAAAAGGTATGCTCAAACAGGTAAAACATTGAACAGGGTAAACCTTAAGTGCTTTTTTACAACCTGTTTCATTGTCCTATGTACTTGAAACCAGCAACCATCCAGAAGCAAACACTTCACTATGCTTTTTGAGGTTGGCTCAGTCTCTAATGAGAATTAAGACCAATACGGTGTGCCCAAGGTCACAGACCTGCTGGACAGTCCTGACAGGTGTGGTTAGCTAGAGCTAGCAAGGCCCTCCTGCAGGTGAACTTGCAGACACAGGGGGGTGAGTTTTATGGTTGTTATGAAAACCCTACCCAGATTACTAGATTACTTCTGCATCCCAGAAGGTCACCCTTAATCCAGCTGAAAGCCACTGCACCAGTCCTCTAGCTAACACCTATCACCACGACAACAGAACCTTGATTCCTTTCAACAACCACTTAGAGAGAACCTGGCCCACCCTATGCAGGCAATGGGGGACACAGGGAGGCGCAAAGATGGACGCGATGTGGCCCCAGCCCATTCACAGACTAGCCACCCAGTAAGAACTTCCCATAAAGGCTTCATCTGAATACCAAGGAGATTAGCTGAGGATCAACCCTCAGAATTAGAAAATAACTGCTTGCTGTGGTCATACCACTTGCTCTGAATGGTACCTGTAAAATCTTTGAGATTTCTGGATCTCATTCTCATTTCAGTTCATTTTCTCCTTAAAGAGGAAGAGGAAGGGGGGGGGGTAGGGAGGGAGAGGGACTCACTTGTCTTCAAAACAATCAAACAAACGTTTATAAGGTCGTACTATGAACTGAGTATAAAACGTGAAACACAGGCCTTGCTCTCAAATAGAGGAAATGACAACACAAGCCAAATTATGGAAGAACTCTGCAAATTGCCCGGAAAGTACCTGCTGACTCCGGGGCAGTGTAATGAAGAAGGGCATCTTCCAGCCCCTCGACCCACCCTGGAAAGGCGGGCAGACGCCTTTGGTCTGGAGAGAGACACGGTCACCGCACCGTCACCACGACAGCTGGCCTCTACCTGCACGGCGCCCAGGTGAAGGAGGCAACCTTCGGCCTTTAAAGTCAGCCCCGCATTTCCCAACCCAGGAGGCCCCACAGCACTATTTCCACACGGCACCGGGTCACCCAGGAGAATCCGTGCCCAGGCTGCCAGCAGCCCTGCCCCCGGGGCCCGGCAGGGGCGGCCCACGCGCCTGGGCGCCGGCTCTGCCTCCAGCCGAGCCTCCCGGGGCTCCCGGGGCAGAGCCGGGCTGCTCGCGGCCACCTCCAAGGGCAGGGCCCGGCGAGCGGCCGCCCGGCGCCAGGAGGACGCGCTGGACAGAGCGCGGGGGCCGCGAGCGGTACCTAGGCGTCGGGCGGGCCGGCGGGCGTCGCGGCGGGCGCTGCGGGTCTCGGCGGCGGGAGGGGCGCGGGCAGCTGTTGCAATCTCCCACCGCGCGAGGAGGATTTCCGACCCGGCGGGGACGGGAAGCGCCCCGGGGAAGAGTGACTCGGGGAGGTGGCTCCGCGCGGCGACACTGCGCCCGGGGCCGGCCGGCGGGCGGGGCCCGCGCCCGCGGCTCCCGAGCCCGAGTGCCACCGCAGTCAGGTCCCCGGCGCGGTCCCGGTCGCCTCCCGCGGCACGTCCGCACGGCCGTCCCCCCCCCCCCCCCGGCCGCGCGGTGACAGCGGCGCCCGCACCCTCCCTCCCCCACCCCCGCCCGGCCGCCCGCCCCGGAGCCCGCGCCCGGCCGCCACGCCCCCGCCGCGCACCCACCTCCGCGCGCCGCGCCGCTCGCCCGCCTCACTTCGCCGCGCGGTAGCGCAGCCCGCTGCTGCGCACGCGCGCGCGCGGCCCCGCCCCCCGACACGCGCCGCCGGCCGCCCACCCCAGTCCCCGCGTCTAGGCCGAGTCGCGTCTGGGCATGCGCGCTGGCGGCGGCGCCCCGGGCGGGAGCATGCGCTGGCTGCGGTTCTCCGCACCCGGCGCGGCGGCCTCGCCGGCGGTTCCGGGCTACGGAGCTTCGGCCGAGGGCCACGCCGCGGGTGTCCGCCGCCGGGACGGCTGTCCACCTGAGCTCCTCCTGGCGGTCTTTGTGGACTCGAACCGCGCGTCCCGGGCGCCAGGGGCCCAGGGGGCGGGACCCGTCCCCGAGAGCCCCGAGGTCGAGGCTCGGAGACCCGGTAGAGCTGCACGGGACGCAGCAGACGCACTGCTGGGCACGGGGACCACGGAGGCGGGGGCGGGCGTGGGCGCAGCGGGGGCCAGACCCGCAGAGTCGGACCCGACCGGCCTCCGCGTGCGGGAGAGGAGCCGCAGCGCCCTCGGGGACCCGGCCCGGCCTCAGAAGGGTCAGGCCGGGGGTCCTGCATCACACGCAAGTCCACGGCCGCCCAGGGCGATCGGATCGGGCGGGGCGCGGGGCGCAGGGCACGGGCACTCCGGGGGTGCCGGCCCCCTCCGGAAGCCGCCAGGCAGCATGTCGGGGCCCGGTGTGGCTGCGGCGGCCCGGGTGGGAGGCACGCGGGGAGCCTCCGGCGGCCCGGGCGGGGGCCGGGGTGGCGCCGCGCCGCACGCGAGCAGAAGAACGCACGAGCGCGCGCGCACGGGGCTGTGGGGCCGCGCCCGCCCGCGCCGGGGCTCAGGCCGCCCCGCAGCGCCCCCGCCGCTCGCGCCGCTGCAGCCTCCGCAGGCGTCGCGTCCACGCGTCCCTCCAGGGCAGCACCAGGCTCCCGCGGGCGGCGCTGAGTCCCGGCCCCGGGCCCGCCGCGCCCCCGGCCGCGGCCCCCGGCCCACCGCCCAGCAGCAGGTAGCGGCGGCCGGGCTGCAGGCGCGGGCAGCCGCAGGCGGCGTCGCGGGCCGGCACCCACAGCGCGCTGCTCCCGCGCCGGGCGCGCTCCTCGCCGCTCCGGAACACGGCGAGCACCGCCACGGGGAAGCGCGTCCACGCGCCGCGCGCCTCGCCGCGCGCGCCCACGGCCACCTGCACCGCTGCGGGGAGGGAGGGGCGTGGTCAGGCCCGGAAGTGGGCGGGGCTCCCGGCCAGACACAGGGCGCCCACCCCGCGTGGGGCGGACGCAGAGGTCACCCAGCAGAGGACCGCGCTTCGACGACACTGGGGGTTGGAAGGGCGGGGCCCGCAGGACGGCTGGACCCGGGGTGGGGGTCTAAGATTTCACGGGGGAGTTGGGGGGGAAGAGGACGGGGTCGCCCCGGTGCCCGGGGCAGCCTACCGTAGTCTTTCCGGCAGAACTTCTTCAGGCTGATCCGGTAGTTGCCACTCGCTGGTCTGCAGTGTGACTCACAATCTAAGGGGGGAGAGGAGCCGTCAGGCTCTCGTTTGAACCCACAGTCCCCTCCCCCAAGGCCGCATCGTCTGGAGTGGGCCCCGGATCCACCGCCGCTCACCCTGTGCGTCCACGGGGCTGCTGTCCTCCGTGGGTCCAGGGACAGGGGTCTCTGCGGAGGTGGGAGAGTGGTCTTGGCTGGGGGGTGGGGGCAGCAGGATCTCCGGGGCTCCAGGGGCAGATGGGCGGACAGGAGCCCAAGTGGCTTTGCGGAGGGGACCGAGGCCAGGGGTCACTCACTGACACAGGGGGCCACGGGGGAGCGGCTCTGCTGGAAGCCCGGGGCGCAGCGGTTGCAGGTGAGGCCAGTGACACCGTCCTTGCAAGGACACTGGCCTGTGGTCTGGTTGCAGGTTTTGCCAGCAGCACCCACGGGGTGACAGTCACAGGCTGCGGGCAGAGGGGGGGCGGTCAGAGGTCCCCACTGCGGGCAGGGGTGGGCCTGATCAGAGGCCCCACTTTGGGCAGAGGTGAGGGCCTGGTCAGAGCCCCACTTTGGGCAGAGGTGAGGGCCTGGTCAGAGGCCCCACTTTGGGCAGAGGGGGGGCGGTCAGAGGTCCCCACTGTGGGCAGAGATGGGGGCCTGGTCAGAGGTGGGGGTCTGGTCAGAGCCCCACTGTGGGCAGAGGTGGGGGCCTGGTCAGAGGCCCCACTTTGGGCAGAGGTGAGGGCCTGGTCAGAGGTCCCCACTGTGGGCAGAGATGGGGGTCTGGTCAGAGCCCCACTGCGGGCAGGGGTGGGCCGGTGAGAGGCCCTCCGGGGCGGCGGGCGGCTGCTCACCTCTGCAGGCGCGCCGGTCGCTGGCCGCCCGGCCCGGGTCCCGGTAGAAGCCCTCCCGGCAGTAGTGGCAGTGCCGGCCGGCCGTGTTGTGCCGGCAGTTGAGGCAGACGCCCCCGCTGCGGCGGCCCGAGAGTCTGTACAGCTCCATGTTGAAGCGGCAGCGACGAGCGTGGCCATTGCAGGAGCAAGCTGCGGGGAAGGACGGCCGGGTCAGGGGAGGCCGCGGGGCTCAGGCCCCGCCGGGGGGGGGGGGGGGGAGGCCGCGGGGTCCCCGCCGCGCCCGGGCCTCACCCAGGCAGGCGTGGGCCTCCCGGGCCGTGGCGCGCTGCCACGGCCGGTCGCAGTAGAAGGGCTTGCAGCGGCCGCAGTCGGGGCCCTCGGTGCCGTGCTGGCAGTCGCAGAGCAGGCGGCCCCCGCCGTCGGGCAGGCACCGCGCCGCGTGCCCGTTGCACTTGCAGCGCCCGCCCACCTGGAGCTCGGCGGCCGAGTAGAAGTAGGGGACGGCGGCCTCGGCGGCCCCCGCGGCCCCGGGCGTCGCGGGCCTCGTGAGCAGTATGCGGATGTCGGTGGCGGTCACCCAGTCCTGGAGCACGGGGCTGCGGTCCAGATCCAGGCCCGGCGGGCCGCCGTCCTGGACGCTGAAGGCCAGGAGGCCGCCGCCGTCGGGCTGGGCGCGGGGGGCCGGGAAGCACAGGGCCTCGGGGCCCGGGCCGCCGGGGCCGTCGGCGGGGGCGGGCGGGCGGCCGTAGTCCGGGCCGCAGTGGGAGGAGAAGAAGCCCAGCGGGGCCCAGCTGCGGCCGTGGTCCTGCGACTTGAGCAGGGCCACCGAGGCGGGCGGCGCGGCGCAGAAGCGCAGGCTCACGAAGACCAGCTCGAAGGCCGCGCCCAGCGGCACCGTCAGGCTCACGTTGAGGGGCGCGCGGCGCAGCGGGGCGGACCGCCAGCACGCGGGGGCCCCGGCGCCCGCCGCCGCCGTCAGCAGGGCCGCCGGGTGCGCCCGCCGCGGGTCGGCGGCGTCGCAGGCCCGGGTGGCCGGCCTCCCGCACGTGCTGGACGCCAGCACCGCCCGGCCCAGCGCCGCGTTCACCAGGCCCGGCACGCAGCCGCGGGGCGCGCCGCGCTCGTCCCGGCAGGGGTCGGCGCCGGCCGGGGGCCCGGGGCCCAGCGCGGCCGCCAGCGTGCCCGCCGCCAGCAGCAGCCCCCAGGGCCCGCCGGGCATGGCCGGAGCCTCCGCGGCTCTGCCCTCGGGGCCCGCGCCCCGCCCGTCAGCCCGCGGTGCCCCCCCTCCCCGGGCGGCCTCAGTCGAGGCCCAGCGGTGGGAGCGGCCGGGGCCGGGCGCAGCGGCGGGGCCCCGAGCGGTGACAGGCGGCGCCCCGCTCCGGTGCCTCGGCCCGCGGAGGCCCCGCCCGCCGCCCGCCGCCCGCACTCACCCACCGGGCGGAGCAGGTCTCCGGGCCTCCCGGGAAGGGCAGTGGGCGGGCGGGGCCTGGGGCGCCCGGGGCCGACACCTCCGCCCGGCCGCGGCGAGGGCGGGCGAGCTGTGCCGCGAGGGGGCGGGGGGCGCAGCCGGCGCGAGCCGGGGCCCAGCCGGGGGCGGGGCGGCGCGGGCCGGGGAGGAGGGGGCGGCGGGGCGGCGGCTGCACAGCCGGAATCAGAAGCAGATCCAGACCCCGGCGGGCGGGCGGGGGAGGGGGCCGGGGGAGGGGCCCGGAGCCTGGAATGCGCCGGCGGGAGGGGGCTGCGGGGAGGGGGGGCGGCCCGCCCGGCGGCCCGCGGGGGGACCACCCAGCAGGGTCCTGGACCCCGAGCCAGGGCCCGGCCGCTCCCGGGGCGGTGCCACGTGCTGGCCGGGGTCCGGCCACCTCCTCCCCTGGCTGATGGGCCTGGATTTGACAGCCCAGGCCCCTCTGGATGCTCCTTAGATGGGGGCGGGGGGAACGGGAGGACTGTGGGGTGGCCTCGGGCTGGCATCAGGCCTGCTCCACCGATTTCTAGCCGTGTGTCCTGGATGCGTTTCCCCATCAGCAAAAGCCTGAGTTCATTCACCTTTGGGGCGTGCGGGGGAGAAAATGAGTGCACAGGGATGAGTGTAAGTCCCGAGCCACCCAGGGCCACCTGAGCTCGGCGACGGGATGAAGCCACTGCCACCCGTGGGGAGCCAACTCTCGGCGCAGGCACTTCGCCAGGCCTGTGGGTGTGTGCGCGCTGGCTGGATTCCCCCTCACCTCCAGCGCTCACAGGGATCTGCCCCGCGGGTTTCCAACAAAGGGAAGGTGAAAGGATCCTTTAGGAGCGGTGATGGGCTTGCACTCTGCCTCGGGATGGGTCAAGTTCACCGCTAACGCGCCCTAAGCTCCGGCTTCCAGCTCCTCTCGCCCTCAGACGCACCGGCTGAGAGGAGTCCTGATGAGAGCTTGGGGAAGGAGACCAACCATTCTGAGACAGCGGAGGGAAAGGCCCCTGCCTAAGACAAGCACCCAGGAAGCCCAGCCCCGGGCTCCAGGACTTGGGCCGGTCACCATGGTGTGGGAGAGAGGGCGTCCTCACAGTAGAGCGGGCTTTGTCTCCATGGGGCTTCCCGTAGGCAGAGCATATGGTGTGGGTGGAAGTTGGTGTCTGGGGCTCAGCCCTAATGGGGTCGTGTGTGTGAGAGAGAGAGAGAGAGGGAGGGAGGGAGGGAGAGGGAGGGAGGGAGAGAGCGCCCCGCGCACCTGGGGCCTGCAGGACCCTTGCGTCACGGCTCTGCGGCCTCGGCTGTGGGCTGCAGATGTCTTCTCTGGAATGACCCTCTGCCCTGTTCTCCTCTGGGCCCCTCGCAGATGGTGCAATGGGCCGGAGCGCGTTCCCGCAGCCTCCAGGCGAGGCTCATCCCTCCCCAGCGGCTCGGCCACCTGCCGCCGCCTCTGCCGGCCTCTCACCTCTCTGGTCCCTGCCCCCTTTGGCGCCTTCATTGACAGAGACATTAGGCCTCTCCCCGCCCCCCAACCCGCAGCCCCTGCGGCACACACCGCAGCCCGGCACAGGCAACCAAGACGGGAGGGGCGCGGAGGCCCCGGCGGCAGGAAGCTGCCCACGGATGAAGTCACGCAGGCCCGCGCGGGGCCCGGGCCTACAGAAGCCTGCAGCCGCCGCCGGGCGCTCCACCAACGTTTATTGAGCGTCTGCCCGCCGGGGGCCCCAGCCAGCCTGGAAAGCCGGCGTCCGGGGAGGGCTCCGCAAGCTGCCGCTGCTGCCGCCGCCGCTTCGCCCTCCTAGAGAGCGGCCAGGCCCGGCCCGCACCCCGCACCCGCGGCCAGGCCGGGCCCCGCTCGCTCCCTCAGGCCTGCTCCGCGCGCCGAGCAACCTTAGGGGGAGGGACGGCCGCCGCCGCTAACGGTTCAGGGAGGGGGCGGCGCGTCCGCGGCGCCCGCCGCCCCCCGCGCGTCCCCGGCGCCCGCCGCCCCCCGCGCGTCCCCGGCCCGCCGCCGCCGCCGCCGCCGCCGCCGCGCGCGCCAGCACAGGAAGGCGGCGGCCAGGAGCCCGAGGCCCGCGGCCAGCGCGGCCAGCGCCGCGCCCTGGGCCAGGTCCAGGCGGGGCCCGCGCAGCGAGAAGGTGATGGCCGTGGCCGCCGCGCCGGCCAGCGTGGCCAGGGCGCCGAAGGGCAGCACGCAGCGGGGCCACGAGCGCCCCGCGCCGCCCGTGGCCACGAGCAGCGCGCGCAGGGCGGCGGCGGGCTCCCGGGGCGCGGGGGGCTCGGCGGGCCCGGCGGGCCGGGGCTCGGGCGGGAGCATGCCGGGGGTGCGCGCGTGCGTGTGCACCCACCGCGGCCCAGCCCGCGGGCAGGGCCACCTCGTCCGAACCGATTGGCCCAGGACGCGGTGACGCCGCGGGGCACGTCAGGGAGCCCCGCCGCCTCCGGCCTCGGATGGGCGCTGGAGCTCGGGGCGCCCTCCCCCGCGAGGCCTCCTCACCGACTCGCCTCCCAGGCCTCCCCAGGGCACCTCCTGGCCAGGGCTGGCCATCCACGCCACAACCCCGGGCCCTGACCACCCCGAGCCAGTCCACGCCTCCCAGCCCAGTCTCCTCCACACCAGCCTCTTCCCTGACTCTCCACAAGCCGCACTCATGGCTTGTCCTGCTGTACCAGGCATGGGAGGGCATGGCGGTAATCCCAGCACTCAGAAGGCCTGAGGCCAGCATGGCTACACAGCAGAGAACCATCTCAAAAACAAGAGATGAGGGCTGGGAAGGTGGCTCAGTGGTAGAGTGCTTGCCTTGCATGCATGAGGCCCTGGGTTCAATTCCTCAGTACCACATAAGCAGAAAAAGCCAGAAATGGTGCTGTGGCTCAAGTGGTAGAGTATTAGCCTTGAGCTGAAAAGCTGAGGAACAGTGCCCAGGCCCAGAGTTCAAGGCCCAGGACTAGCAAAAAAAAAAAAAAAACCCAAAAAAACAAAAAGTAAGAAGAGATGAGGTATCCTTGCCTGGAGCTAGCCCCGCCCCTCAGCCCTGCCAGCATAGCTGCTTGAGGCATTTGTACAGGCTCCATGGAGTAGAAGCCACTCCCCCAGCATGGCAGTGGGGACAAGTCTGGGGAACCAAGGCTGAAAGTCCCACAGCAGGAAGCAGTCACCATGCAAACCCAGCTCCAGAGGCCACAGCTGACCCTCACTCCTTCCAGGAGTGAGAAATGACCATGGTGTGGACTTCCTCCCTGGTGAAGTTCTGCAAGAAGTTATGGGGGTGGGAATCCCATATCTGCCCCAGAAGAGTAGAGATGGAGCCAATGGTGCCTGTGGACAGGGCGAGTTCTCTAGTGAGGAAACTTGGTCTTTTGCCCTCTGACAAGGCCGGGGCAGCTCTGGCCACAAGCAGGGAAGCCACAGGTGTCCGGGGCCAAACACCAATTTGAGTGGCTTTGCCTATTTCCTTATCCTGAGACATGTGTTGTGTGTGCTGCTGGAGACTGAACCCTGGGCCTTGCACATGCCAGGCAAATTCTCTACCCCTTGAGCTATGTCCCAGATTTTGCTTGTTTAAGGTAGATCTCTGGGGCTGGGACCACAGAGGTGCACCACTAGGCCTGGTTGATAAATTCATTCGATATATATATTTTTTAAGGTAGTCCTGGGGTTTGAGCTCAGAGCCTCACATTTGTTAGACAGACACTCTATGACCCAAACCATGCCCTGGTTACAGGGCATGTCCAGGGCCTTCTTGCTGTCCAGGGCCTTCTATCCAGCCAAGTTTTGTTTTGTTACTGAAATGAAATCCCACTAAGGGTTTGCCCGGGCTGGCCTGAAGCGTCAGCCTCGCCCCTCCGCCTGTCAAGTAGTGAGATGACCGGGATTTGCACCCCCTTACTCGATGCACTGTTGAATAGAAAACACAAAGAGCCGGGCGCTGGTGGCTCACGCCTGTCATCCTAGCTACTCAGGAGGCTGAGATCTGAGGATCGATGTTCAAAGCCAGCCCAGGCAGGAAAGACTGTGAGACGCCTATCTCCCATAAACCACTAGGAAACCGGAAGTGGCGCTGTGGCTCCAGTGGTAGAGCACTCGCCTTGAGCTGAAGAGCTGAGGGACAGCGCCCAAGCCCAGAGTTCAAGCCCCACAACCAACCAAAAAAAAAGAAGAAACTACAAAAAGATCCATTCCAGGTCCTACCTTAGGGTGACTTAAATACTTTCTAAAAGTTTTAATAGCATACAGGTGGCTTTTTTTAAGAGTACAGTGAAAGAAAACAGAAGGAACCAAGAAAGGCTTCCCTGGGCGTGTGGGGCTCGGGCTGTTTGTCAGGGACCCCGGGAGGCCAAGCCAGGCCCCAACCGCAGATCTGGTGCCTGTCCACCCAGGCTTCCCAGGATGCCACCTGATTCACCAACCAGGGGCTTTCTCCTCAGTCCCTGTGCGCTCCGGCCTTCTGGCCGGGTGGAGCTGGCGCAGGGCTCAGTCAGCAGGGTCGTCTCGGAGGACAGTGAGGAAGCGCGCTCCGCCCTCACAGAGCAGGCTGTGCGCGGCCCGGCACAGGGCCAGCCAGGCGGGCCCCCTGGGCTCCTGGGCGCCTATGAGGGGCAGGAGCTCAGCCATCAGGACCTGGAAGGCAGTGCAGGGTCAGGGTCACAGGGGGTCCCACTCCAGAGGGCCAGTCGGGGGCTCCCACAGCCTCTGTGCGCCAGCCCTCCCCTCCAAGGTTCTCCATAACCCATGTGTTCAAGTCCCTGGGGCCCTTCCCGGCTCACACACAGGCCTAAAGGTTCACGTCTTCTCATTTTTTTTTCTTTTTGTCGGTAGGGCTTGAACTAGGGGCTTAGGTGCTGTCCCTGAGTGCTTCAGCTCAAGGTGAGTGCTCTACCACCTGAGCCACAGCACCACTTCCAGTTTTCTGGTGGTTCACTGGAGATAAGAGTCTCACGGACTTTCCTCCCCTTGCTGGCTTTGAACCGCCACCCTCAGATCTCAGCCTCCTGATAGCTAGGATGACAGGCGTGAGCCGCCGGCGCCCGGCAGATCTTTCCCATTCCCACCAGCAGCACAGTCATGCCCCAACCGAGTCCCCCCCTCTGAGGGGCCGGAGCTGGTCCTCAGAGTGCATGAGCCCCACAGAGGCCAGATGCACACTTGCTCCCCCTTCTGGGAAGGCACCTTTTCCAGGTGGATCTGCTGCTCCAACATGGCCACCTGCAGTTTCAGGGCTGCCAGCGTCTGCAGCTCCTCGGTGCTGGTGTAGAGAAGGAGCGGAGGGCTCTGGGAAGGGTCTGCTTCCCCTCTCCAGGGCAGCGGAGTCTGTGGAGGCTTCCCCAGCTGCGGTCCTGGGGTCTGCTCCGTGGCCGCTGTGAGGACGGGAGGACATGGTGTCATGGGAGGCAGCCACACCCAAGGCCCAGCTTCTTTCTGGGTCAGTGCTGGGCCTATTTGCCTTGCTGAGGGGCGAAAGGCTGGGCTGTTGGAGCGGTCAGGTAGGCAGCGTGGGGGTGTGCGGGCTTGGTTTGGCAGTTTGACTCTTATGGGACTTCTCTTTGCCTCCTGAGTGTCTTTTGGGTGCTTATGTGTGTCTCTCTTGCGACAGACTGACCTAAACTTTTAAAATTTCAAACAATTAAAGGGTAATAAAAAGCTTTGTTGTCCATGACACATCTCCTAGTGTCTCTGATTTTTTTTGGGGGGGGGGGTGCAGTCATGGGACCTGAACTCTGGGCCCCGGTGCTGTCCCTCAGTTCTTCAGCTCAAGGATAGAGGTCTACCACTTAAGCCACTTCCGGCTTTTTCTGCTTTAGGTGGTGCTGAGGAATCGAACCCAGGGCCTCATGCATGCAAGGCAAACGCTCTACCACTGAGCCACCTTCCCAGCCCCTGGAGTCTCTGATTTTCATGCTGCTTAGTGAGGTGAGTGCACTTGGGAGGAGTGGTAGGAGGAGGAGTAGTGGCGGGAGGAGCCGTGCAGGGTGAGGGCCGGACCTCACCTGCGCACAGATCCTTCAGCCTGTGGAGACACTGCCCGGCCATGGCCTGCAGCCCTTCCAGGGTGAGGAGGCAGCGGTACTCCTGCATCCAGTCAGCGGGGGCTGTGCAGATCAGGGAGAACAGGCTGGGTCAGTGGTCATCCTCGACCCCTCCCCTGTCCACCTCACCCTCTGCTCTCCTCCAGCCCCACTTGGCCCCACTGACCTACTGAGAGCTCCTCCTGCATGCGCAGCCTCAGCATTGCGCAGGCCTCCTGCAGGCGCTGGGCCTCGGCCTCCACCTCCACAGCACTGGGTCTGGGGCTGAGCGAGCCTGACTGTGCACACATCAGAGAAAGTGCTCTGTGGCCAGACTGCAGCTTCCCACTGAGGAGGGGCTGGGAAGAAGCCGTGGCCGCCCCAACCTGGCCCTTCCGTAAGACTGTCAGACCAAGAGCCGGAAGCCCCCCAATGCCCACAGGCCCAGCAAGGACTTGGCCACCTGCATGTTCCGGAGGAAGTGGATTTTGGCTGCGCGGGTGGCATCTGTGGAGTCGCCGGTCTGTGTGGAGTTGAGCTGGGCCCACAGGCTGGGGTGTGTACAAGGAAATCCCAGGAACCAGAGAGGGACACGGTTATTCTAGCCAACTAGGCTAGGGCCTGTGGCAGGCTGGGTACCTGACTCTGCCCAGTGACATCAGGGCACTCTACAACACCTCTGTGAAGCTGGTCTATTCCCGTCACCTCTAGACACACCAGGGTTTGGAGGTGCCAAGGATCACGCTCAGGTCTCATACTTTATCTTACAAGTGCGTGAGCCGGAGGCATCAGGGCCTGCTGCACCTGTGCCTGCTGCAGTGCTAACTAGGCAGACCCTGAATTTAGACAGTGACCTCCCCCCACTCCTTGCCAGAAAATACAAGGACCTGCTGGAAGGCCTCATCTGAGTCCCCAAGCTGGTGATGGTCTCCCAGTCTCTGCCCGTACCCAGCCTTACCGAGAGTTCTGAGCAGCCGCCTTCCTGAAGGCCCCAGGCAGCCGCAGCTGGGTCCTGTCAGAGAAGCCCGTGTTCAATCCCCACACCCCCCCCATCACCCCTCACCCCAGGGCCCACTGAAAAAACGGGAGCTGGGAGAAGGACGCGGCCAACGAGGTCACACCTAGCACCGTCCAGCCAGCTGCTCCCCTCTGCCTGCCACAGAACACTGGCCTTGTGACCCTCCAGGGATCCCATTTCCAGCTCGATGCCCTGCCCTCGTGGCACCCCAGATCCTAGATCCTGATGCTGCAAGGTCTGCACAGAGAGATGGAGACAGCAGGGAACCTACCCCTTCCGCTCCAGGGTGAAGG